TCCTTTACTTTCCATCTATTATTTGTAATGAGAGGTATGAATATATTTAGGTGCTCTTACTATTCATGAACGTTTATGATATTACAAAATGTACTACCAGAGGATTTCCCCTGTTAAAAGGCATCAAACAGTACCAAAAGAAACAAAACCAGGCCAAGATTGCCATATAGTACTTGAGAACATATATTTATTTGGGCTCAAGAAAATTGCCTATGATTAATAAACCTAGCAACATTTCCGTAGAAGGTTGCATCCAAACAAAGTGCCTCTTCATCCTCTAAAACTTTCTCTGAGCCCCAGTCTGCATCCCGTGTAACTGGATATATATGTCTCTCTCTGCCACTGCCTTTCATATTCCGCTCATATAAGTCAGTGTTGGTCAAGATCTCCCCAACGTACTCAAAAACAAAGGTTCCTTTAGGCAAGTTCTGGAGTGTCTTAAAACCCCAACCTTTTCTTTCAAGAGTCAAGAACACCTAAAGTCTAAAAGCATAGTCAATACCAATACAGAATCCTAACTTATCAACAAAAGTAGACCATGCATGTATTATGTAATAGATGAAGCAACTATGGAGTAAATAATGGTAAAATAAGTAGAATTAGCAGAAAACCTATAGTACCATATTTTCACAATCTCTTTTAAAATCACATATACATGTATTTTAGTAATAAAAAAAAAATCAAGTAATAGCTTTTCAGTAGCAATATTAATGCACCATACCTTAAGACGATGTAAGACACTAAGTTGTATATGAAAGGCAGCTTCTAAGAGCTAAATTGAAGCCATTTTACAAAGTTGCATTTCTACAATTGAAATAGAAAAGACATTTGAATACAACAAAAATATCTCCACTTAGTGGAGAAGCAAATTGCTGCCTAACAAAACGCTGGGGAGCTTTACCTGCAATTTGCATGCAATACCTCTCGGTACTACTCGATTTCCACATTGCATATTACATGCACATTTTCTCCAGTATTCTTTAATGAATTTGCTGACCAAATGGCCCTTGCATATTTTAGGTTTATACTCATTTTTAGACCTCTCAAATGGACAATCCTGACAATAAACAAAGTGATGCCCACGAGGCTCATGTTTCATAGACATACAGGCTCTTAGAAGAATTAGAAATTCTTCTCCTGGTTGACCTTCTGGTGTGTAAGCAAACTCTCCACCAGTTTCATGAGCACAAGCACATGGTATTAGCATTGAAAGACAGTCTCCCGAACAACTTGAACAGCAATGCTTATCTACAACCCAAGCCAGTGAGATATGCACGTAAGCATCTTGATATATTACATTGTCTCCCATGTAAATAAACTTTGGCAGATCCTAGTTGCCAATTTCATCTACCAATGAAATTTGCACAATTTCTGTTCCTTTGGTTATATCAGAAATGATATGCAAAGGCCTTTTCTTATCACAAGTAGCAGGTTGCTGCTTAACTTTGTTATATGAATTTGAACACCCAGAAGAACTGGAATCCTACTTATTAAAAAACGTAACTCCCTGTTGAAGATTTATCATAGGCTTTTCATTCTCTTTAGGAGATAAAATTTGGCTTGTGTTGCCCTTCGTAGATGAAGACTAATCTTCCGGCTCTTAAAGCACAATCGTTAAGACAATCTGCTAAATCCATCATGCTCCGCAACAATATTTTCCTTATCCTCTACTCCCTGTAAAGGAAAGATTAACTGCCCATTAAGTGCAAAAGGAAAAAAAAAAAAAGAGGTTCTTAAAAATAATTTGGAACAACTGCCACCATAATTAACCTATTAGTAAAAGCTACCATTGTCATCAATCATGTCATGCCTGACTGACTGACATATAGGAAAAATAAAGATAGGTCCACAAAATATATAAACAGCTAAGGAGTGAAATGGAACAGTGCATTGAAAATCGAATAACACAATAAATTACTTTATCTTCCTTGAGTTTAAAATATGCATCTATCAGTGCTTGGTAGTCTTCAGACTATTTGTTCCCAGTTCTTATCAAACACGTAAAAAAGGTGCTTCAGCAATGGTTTCACCTCTTGATCGGGATTACCTAAAGCTCTTGTTGCATTAAAGGCCATGCGAACTCTTTCATTTACAGCCATCAGCAATGATTAAATTTACTGAAAATCTTTATTTTCTACTTGGCAACCACCCCATTCCTTCTCCTTCATATATACTCCTATAGTCCTAAATATTGTAGTCTGCAGCAGTTGAGGTTGTCAGATTAACAAAGCAAAAACAAAGCTGCTTGTTAATATTAGAAGGTTATTGCAAATAATAAAATCCAATTAATGATACTAAGTGAAAAAAGCAATCTAATAAATATATCGTCACAACAAGATGATTACGACATACATGCGATTTGCAAAAGCCCCCTTTCGCTGGTGATATTAAAAAAAAAAGCACATAATTCGAGTGTGATTATCCGAAATGATCTAAAACCAATGACTTAAAAGACTAATCCGAAATTACTCGAAATTAAATTGATTTGACTTTAAAACTCAATAATTTAACCCAAAATGATTTGAATCGGATGATCCGAACACGAATAATCCCAGTGCCAAACCAGAAATTACCCACATCCAAAATGACACAAAATTTTCTTCAAACCTAAGGCGATTTAACCCAAACATAACTTAATCCGTCCAATTACCACCTCTAATCTCAATCAAACGGTGAAATTTTAACAAACATTGAACAGATGGAAACCTCACCAGATTCCCAAATATTTGAGTAAGTTGAAAATATACACATAAAAGTATCGACTTTCATTTCAGTTTCCTTATGAGCCAAAATAATTCTTTCCTTCATTTGTTCACTAGCTCTACTCGGTATATGGGGAAATTTTTAACCAAAATGGTATTATTATAAATAAGAATATTTAGAATGAAAATTTTTTTCTTTCCTACTTTCCATTCTTGCTACCAGGCAAATCCTAGAAAAGGAAAGATTTTTCTGACAGTTCATTTACTTAGTACATAAGAAACCAAATCATCAAGTTCCAAAATACAACAAAATACTGCCAAAAAACCCTATGAAAAAGAAAAGAAAAGACAAATCTTTTAACTCTGCTTTTTTAAGCAATCAAGTATTTCAAACCTAAATGAACATCAAAAAGATGGAAACAAACAATCTTTGATCACATTGCTAACGACATACACATAACATGTAAAAACCAAAATTACCAAAACGAACAGACTTTTCCTGCTTGGTTACCAGGAAAATGCAGGAAAAAGAAAAAAAAAGATTGCAGCTTTAGACATTAGAGTACCCCCGAGTCCATGTTTTTCATAGTCCCATTATGACAAAACAAATCCTTTAATAAAACTATCATAGTAATAACGATGACGAATAAGAGTAAAACTGAAAGAAGAAAAAAGTCACACAAAGCAGAGAAACAACCTTCTTGAAAAATGGGTTTTTTCTTTTTTTTTTTTTAAGAGAATGCAAGAATACATAAATCATAAATGTTTGAGAGTATAAACAGAATCACATGAAAAGGATGTTTTGTTTTCTTCCTGAACATGAGTATTTGTTTTCTTTAGCAGGTCTTTTTGTCTTTTTATTTTTTTATTTGACTGAGTTTTATTATTAAATTTTAATTTTTAATTGAATTTTATTATTAAACTTCGATTTTGGATATTTCAAGATAAAGTTTAACAACAAAATATATTCCTCCAAAATATTTTTTAATAATTAATAAAAATTAATTAATTAATAAAAACTATAAAAATTAAAAGATATAACAATTTTTATTTTATACAAAATTAAAGCTTAAATTTTGTAGTGTTTTGTAACGTCCCCGATCCCACATCAGGAGTATATGTAGATAAGAAATGATATATATATATAGAGATTTAATCTCAAACTTGTGAGGCGTCTTTTGTAGGATAAAATCGTGAAACCTTTGGGTCAAAACGGACAATACCTCGCAGGTAATGGCATCTGCAGTGTCTTAAGGTCAAGTATTTGACCCATTAAGCATCAATCTTACATTATTGGCTTCACAATCTTAATTTTTTAAAATGTGTTTTTAATCGTCAATTTTTTTAAAAAAAAGGTAACAAAAATAAAATATTTTATAGAATATTTTATTCTTATCTAGTACAAATTTACAAAATAAACAATGATGTGAAAGAAAAAAATGCTAATATTTCATAAAAATATTTTGTATGGTATCAAAATAAAAATTTTAAATTATATAAAAAAAATAAATATGACCAAAAAGAAGCAAAAAATCCCAAAAAAGGTTTTAAAAATGACGTTGTGAAAAATATATGTTAAATTTCACGAGCAACTATAAATTTAACCTTAGAGCATCATTGTTTTTGGAGATCATGACTTGGTGGCTTGACTATAACTTGTATTCTTCTTCTTAATAAAATTCTGTTTTAATTAAAAAAAAAAAAAACATTGGAGCATCTTACTGTTTTATGGCATCATCAATCACCAGCTACTTGAATAATAAAAGAAAGACCAAAAAGATTTTTTTTCAAAAAAAAAGGAAAATTTAAGCATTATTTTTTTGTAAAATAAAAATTCTATGTCAAAATTTTTATTTTTTAAGTATTTCAATTGATTAATTATTTTTAATTATTAAAAAGATATTTTGAAGGAATTTTTTTGTTAATTTTTGTCGTAAAATCATTCAAAATCAAAATTTATTGGTAAAATTCAATCAAATTGAAATAAAGGGGCAAAATTCAATCAAATTGAAATTGAGATTAGAATATAAGAACGAATTTGTCATTAATCCCTTACTTTTTTCTTTTTTTTTTAATTTTTGGGTGAACAATTTCTTCTACTTGTATCAAAGGTGAAATCTTGTAGATACCATCCCATTTTATGATGGGTCAATAGATTTTAAGTCAGTCCGAGTCATTTGATTCAATTTTTAAAGCTTTTTTTTTTTTTGTATGGTTGGATTTTTTTGGTGGTGGGTGATTGATGAAGCATTCAATTGGTTGGATTCAATTTTATAATGGATTTTGGTAATGGACTGATCAAAGTGGATCAAGCCTTTCTACAATCAAAAATTCAAAACATACATTAAAATAATGAAATTCAGGTAGAATTTGTCTGGCATGGACATTAATAATACACAAATTTTCTTTTGCAACAATTCCTCTCTACCTTCACCAAATTTAACCACCATTCCCAAAATCTGATTTCTTTTCAAAAGAAAAAAAAATTAAGGCTTGGTTCCTTCTGATCTTTCTTCAACAATCTTCAACTAATTCACTGTATAATAAAACAATAAATATGTTGTAAGTGACAACTGAAAATCATATGAAAAATAACCTTCTCAATTAATAATTACAAATATGAAAAAGGTGAGTTTTTGAAGATTTATACATACCATCACCCTTCTTTCCTAATTTCTTGCAAGACATCAAGAATATGTAGCCAATCAACAAAGCTGCTGCTCCTCCCAACACAATTGCTGTCAATTTACCTGTATGGTTTTTGCCTTCTGATCTTCCTGTCAAAAGTGTCATCTTAAATAAAATGAAATTTAAATCCGAACTCTACTCGGTTTATACAATCATTTTTAAAATGTAATATCTAACATGTCTAAACTTCATATTTTAAAATCTATAATCTCTTCAACAATTCTCAAACTACGATTTCTTTTGTATAAAAAAAAAAAGTAAAACCTGATTTTAGTTATGTAATATAAGCACGCAATTAATGAGTTTCAGCGAACATGATTATAATAGCAAGGTCATGTTTTGCATGTCTCAATGGAAAGAAATAAAATCAAACAATTGAAAAAAAATTTCCCATTTCAATCTAATTTTCACTTCATCATATTGAGTTTACCTTGGTTTAAGTTATCTGGTATCCCATCTGGATAGTAACCATAGGTAATAAAACAGTTGTCCAAATAAATTTGGCCTGAAAGTGAGCTGCCACACTCTTCCTGAGCAATCTGAGCTGCAATATTCACACATTTACCACAATCACAAGGTCTCAAATCCCCTTCACACTGTGCAATGACCTGCATCAGTTCATAATTTTCTTTAAAATATCCATCCCCATCTGTCACACCACTTTCCACAGCTGCAAATGCTGCATCCCTCACCTCTTCAAAGCCAAGAGCCACAGCTTTTTTCTCATCACAAATCTTGTGAAGCAACTCATAATTAGAACTTTCCTCAATGAACTCATCAGCTTTATAGTGAACATAGCAGCCATGTAGCTGAATCCGGGCCGAAACAGCTTTATTACACAGAGTGTTTGACATTTCAGGAAGTAAGGCTATGCATTTGTTGCATTCGTTGTTGCTTAGATCACCTCGGCATTGAAAGAGGCCTGAAATGCCATTGTTATCATCACCTGTGGTAGTTTTGTAAAATTTTTCTCGAGTGGATTTCGTTATGAGTTCTTGGAAAAAGTAGGAAAGGGATTCAGAGTGATAATTGGTTGAATCTGAAAATGTTTGGCTTGTGCAGTTCTTGTACATGAAGGTACTGTAATCTGAACTGATTTCTGCATTTGGTAGGATTACAATCTGGGAAAAGGCTAAAAGGATTAGTGTTTGAGAAAGAAGAGACAATGGTTTCAAGGTTGAATCCATAATTGCATATGGAGAAATGTTTGTTCAAGCTGGTTTAATGCTTGTTTTTATTGGGTTTGAGACAACAGTAGTCTACTGTTTTAAGAAGAAAAGCGACAATGGAATGAATCAGCTGTTTGAATATCATCTGACTGGATAGTAGTTATTTGTTTGTTAAAATGATTTTGGAAAGTGACTTGGGAGTTGGGATTTTGGTTTCATTTTTCCTGCCTACCTTTATCTAACTGTGGGAAACTTGTTTGATTATATTAAGTTTCTCATTGTGCCTTTTCAGGTAGAATAGACAGAGACGTAAGAAAGAGGTACTTCCTATTACATAACCAACCCAATAAAAGAAAATCCCTTCCATTCTTCTACACATTTTCAACCAGGGAAAGTATGGTGAAAAGGAAATGTCTATCTAATTCGAACCTGAGGTTTAGCCCAAATGGTTCACTCAATTGGATTAATCCGTAGCACTTGCAGTTCCCCTATCCCAATTCGCCGAGGCTTGGAAAGTTGGAACTCACTTTGAACCAAAAAAAATCTATCCAATTTTAATATACAGGACTTCTAATCTGTCATCCCTGTCATTGAAGATGGACTCTGGCTCAAGCTTCATACTTTTCAACCATTCCCTCAGAAATTGGGCAACTTAATGGTAATTAAGAAAAAACTACTATTGCTATGAAGATGAAGCAACAGATAAACTAGTATTGTGTTATATATTGTTTAGCCTTTTAATGTGCAATACAACAGCAAACTACAATACCTGTTTAATATTTGTACGTATCTCCCCCACCTTCCTTTAACTTGTCTGCCACTCTCCCTTTCTTATAAATCTCTCCCAAGTAACAACACTCAGTCACTCACAATCTAACCTCTTACCATATTCACTATCTGCAATCACACTATTATTGCCAACATCTGGCTTGCTTGTGCACATAGAGGATGATCTGTACTACCAACACATACAAGAAAGAGTTAATGTCATGAATAACCATTGTATCATGCATTTTTTTTTTTAATGCCACATATTTATTTTAAAAAAGTTAAATGCGATACTTATACCATCCAATTATGTGACAATATGATATTAGGTTGATATCATTTATTAAAGATAATTGCTCGTCTTTTAACTAATTAGATGTTAACACGTGACAATTTTTGTCATGTAATAGTAAATTATTGCATATGTGATTGTCACATATAATTTTTAATAAAAAATATAATTTTATTTTTTAAAAATAAAATAATAATATTTTTTTAAAATTTTTTTCTCTCTGTCTTTCCTTTCTTTTTTTCATTTGTTTTCTATCTTTATTTTTTTATTATTTAAAAATTATAATTTTTGTTTTGAAGAAATCTTTTTTTTCCTCTTTCCCTCCTGACTACGTGGACACCATGCACATGTACAAGTTAACAATTATTTTGTTGATATGGCATCAAATTAATACTATACATGGTATCACCTAATTTGGTCAACTGCCATGTCATCGTCCCTTACACCTAATGATAATACAAGTAATACATTTGACCCTACTCAAAAACCATCCTTAATCCTCGTAAAAAATCGTTTTACTTAAATTTGCAGAATTCAAGAATCTGTTAATTGTTAAGTAATTACTCGAGCTTAACTAAACTGATAAAAATGGTGAGATTTATATAGAAATTTTAGAATCTAGAGAGTCATAGTAATATCTTCTACTTAGAACAAAATAACAAACCTGTTAAAAAAATCATGGTCTAAAAACCATGGCAATTGGCAACCAACAAACTTTCCTACCATTTCGCACCAACACCTCCTCCACACATTTATTTCCCATCCCTTGATCAGTTCCTAACTTTGTACATGCATCTTCCGTAGATTGTCGTCGGTGACTCCCGCGGGTTAGAGGGGTCTCCGCCTCTAATCCTACGCCGATCTCAACCAACCACAATGGCTGCTCCTCCTACTCATTCCAGAATTCTAGAGATCAACCTCATTTCGGCTGAAGACATAGCCCTGGTCTCCAAAAACATGAAGACCTACGCGGTTGCTTGGGTGCAACCGGACCGCAAGCTCGCCACAGGGGTAGACCAAACAGGCGGAACCGATCCATCTTGGAATGAGAGGTTCATGTTCCGAGTTGATGACAAGTTTCTTAACTCAGAGGATGCCACAATTGTTGTGGAGATTTATGCCGCTGCGTGGGTTAAAGATGCCCTGATTGGATATGTTAACGTCCTCATCAAGGATATTTTCCACTTGCGATCGGTAACCGACGCCAAGATCAACAACTCCACCACGAGAACTGTCACGCTTCAAATCCGTCGTCCCTCCGGCCGCCCCCAAGGGATTCTCAACATGGAGGTAGCCCTTGTTGATAGTACCATGCGTAGCATGCCTTTGCTAGAAGACCCTAAACCAATAACAAGCGGCCAAAACAAGGAGAATCACGAGAATAATGAGCCACAAAATTACAAGTTAAATGCAAACGCTAAGATAAGCCGTTCACAAAGCGACCGAACCGATTTAACAATGGAAGATAACTGGGGGAAAAGGCCTGATAAGGGCTCGATTGTTAATGGTGGTTCGGGTTCCAACGGTTCCGCGGTTAAAGGCAATGGTAGCATGGTAAATGGTGACTCTCTTTGTAACTCGGACTTGGGGCCTTCAGCTTCGGTTGTAGCTGAAGCCATTGCAAAAGGGTTGTATAAGCCACCAATTAATCGTCAAGCTCAATCAAAAGAAACAAGTAAAAGTATAAGAGAATGGACCAAGAAAGAGAGGGAAGAAGACCTAGAGAGGAAGCTAGAGAGATGGCGATCGGATATTCCACCTTCGGCCCGGAAAGGGAAATCAAGCAAAGAGAGAAGATCAAGGGGGAAGAGAAGCGAAGGTACGAAGTTGTTCTCATGTTTTGGTAATGCTTTTGGACTTGAAATTTCGATTACTTGTGGTGGAGGTAAGAAGAAACATGGAAAAGGCCGCAATAAAATTTGCCATTTAAGCTCAGTGGATGATAATTATAACCAATCTGTCGTTTGAATATTTTCGAAAGATTTAATTGAGGTATGGAAGAAGAGATCAAATCTCCTTTTTTTTTTTTTTGTTTCTTTTTTCCTTGAAAACTACAAAGCATGTCATGATCAGCATGGGATAGTTGCAAGTAATATGTTATTTGTACTTGCATCTCTAGTTCTGCCGAAATTAAATCCTTCATTTTGATTTTGATTTTGAATTATATATATTTCGGCAAGAATGTCTATATGAACAAGTTATTCCTTCATATGTACTTTTTAGTCATGTATGGTTAATACTAATTGTATTTTTTATGAAATTAAGCTAGTGAATAGCATCCAAGAGTTTTAGTCAGAGTAGGTGCATATAACTTTTTCTTCAAAGAATAGTTCGAATCTTTTTTTTTTATAAATTGATCAAAAGTTTCGAGATACATATAATAGTAGTTTTTTTTTTTTTTAAGGATACTTATGAGAAAGTTTAAGAGAAAGAAAGAATTCAATTAAACATAATTCCTTTGTGCTTTTGAATAACCAGTCAGTGGGGGTTTAGGTTGATTCAGAAGGTTGGTTCATTATTTGTTCATCTGTCAAAGTATAATTCACATGGCTAATGATTGCCGTATAAAGAGGTAGAAAAGGGTGGAAAAAAGGTTGGGAGAGATTTGAGATGATGTTTAGTAGTAAAGGGGAAAAAAAAAAAGAGAAGACATTAGAAAATTTGTTTAAAAATATTATGCCACCTATAAAATCCTACATATGTGCATAACAATGGACATTGCACTCTTTTTTTTATGAAAATTTTCTCTTGGTGCTGATATATTAGCTTAATTAGTTGTTCAAGGTAAGGTTAATTAATTAGGTAAAAGATTAATTAGTTCAAACATATTTCGACATCTTTATATGAACTTCCTTTAACCAAAAAAATAGAGATTGATTTATTAATAAAATATTAAACTCTTAATTTTAATAAATAAAATTTAAATTATTACAGTTTCAATGAAAAAAATAAATATTGTGAAGAAATCTCGTTTATGTAGCAAAAATCTTAAAGAAGTAACATGGTGAATAAATCACTTTGAGTTTTAAAGAAATCATCGTATATCGATCTTTACCTTGATTAATTCATTTTAATATCTCATCTCATAATATTTAAGTGTTGAAACTTAAGAGAAGTTGAGTAATGAGAATCTTATAAGTTTTACAAATATATTTGATAGGTTCATCATCGATAAAGCACTAGTAACTAACAAGCTAAATTGCCTCTAACATAAAATTATATCATTTATCTCTTTGCTATTGATTCCTTTGTAATATGAAGTAGTAATTAGTAAACAATAAAAATTGTACTTCACATATCATCATTTCTTTTATTTTCCTCTCTTCTCTTAACATAAACACATTGTAAAAACATTGAATTATGCCTCCATTTTTTTTTTCAAAAAGATGTAAAAAGTAAATTCTGAAATTTTGGGGAAATAAAACAATTTATGAAAGGTAAAAGAATCTTTAGGAGTTTGAGACACATGCATTTTCTAGCTCTCACCTTAACACTTAATCATCACATGCACTTGTCTTCTGTGTCAGCCATGCAACAAATAGAGACAATGAAGCAGGTAGAAGCTTACAACTATAAAGCAAAAACCTTGGCTAAACATTTAGACAAAGGCAACCCCCAAACCAGCCTAGCCGCCTTTGTTTTCTCTTTTCCCTTTACTCATGGCTAACCATTTCTTTGAACGAAAGCCCTTTAAGCCTCCCTTTGAGATCATAGAGAGGAAAACAACTGCAATCAACATTAAATACAAAGAGTGCAAGCGTAACCATGCACCTCAACTTGGTGTCAATGTTGTCGATGGTTGTGGTGAATTTACTCCTAAAGGAACGTCAGAAACGAGACATGTTGTTGATGATCTTGATTGTGAAGCTTGTGGTTGTCACAGGAATTTTCATCGCAAAGAGGTGACGAAAAAAATTACTCTAACGTTTATTGAAAACGAAGATGCTAATTTGTTTCATTTTCATCCGTGACGTTTCCAATTGAACAGTGAGCAAAAACCATTGGAAAACGAAGAGTTAAATGGGAGGATGAAGAAACCTAAGAGCGATGAATCAATGTAAAATGCAAATGGTAGTAAGAAATAAGGCCTTCATTTTGGCCATGGTTAATTTTGAAGTTGTTGGTTTTATTAGGTTTTAGTTAATAATAGTAATAACTAGGTGAGAAGAGTTATTGTCTTGTTGAGGACTTTTCTTGTTTTTCCAATGTTACCTTTTCTACTTTAATATAGTTTTTCTCATGGTTGTGTTAATAAATTTCTACTATGTTTGGTTATTTGTTTATTTTCTATTTGCAAGCATATATTAAATTTTGTTTGTAATGCTAATCTTAAGACAAATGACATCGAATATGTTTAAATTTTAAATTTTAATACTTACAATGATAATTATTTTTTGTAAAAGGTACATACTGCAATCATCTAAGATAAATATCAAGAAAGGGAGTCCATCAATTGACCTCTATACATATAATATGATGATGGGAATAAATTTTGAATCTTTAGGAAAAAAAAAAGAGTGTTTTCAGTAATTAATTCATTAATTTCTACTAAAAGATGTTTAAATTAGTTTTTTACTAAGATGTCCCTATCAATTCGATCTTATGACTCTAATTTCAAAGTTTTTAAATTTAAATTTTTAAAAATTATAACACTATATCTCATATTTAATTTTATTTTTATTTTATGAGTTTATTTCTCAAATGATTTTCTTTTGAGAAACAATATTTTGTCCATACATAGAGGATTAGTGATGCATTTCTTTTTTTTTTTTTTGGTTGAACGATAGTTATTTTTTTCAGAGACAAAACATTCACCATTTTATTAAAATCATTATAATTTTAAATTGCAAACCTTAATTTAAACAAAAACGATTCAGTTGAAACTAACGTTCAGTTTAAATTAATTTAATCTAGCTTATGAAACCATAACTTACTGATAAGGAAAATCTTATAAAATCTTGAAGTTTTAAGTTCAAATTTTACTATACGAGTTTAATTGTTTAATTATATTATAATTTATTAATTGATTATTGAATGAGTGTAACTTGATTATTATGATATAATAATTAATTATATAAATATAATACTTGATTATGAGTTTAATTTCAAAAAATAAATTAAATTAATCTGCATTTTGTACCATATTAGCAAAAGTTTTCAATATTGCTTTAGTTATGTTGTTTGTTGGGCTAGAAATAATGATCTGTTGACAGAAATTAAAGGCCTTCAAGAACTTATTAGGAGATCTGTTCAGGCCCATGCTTTGGGATAAGATGGTCCAAAAGACTTCTGGAAATAGAATCATAAATTCCCTCCCAAGGTTGCTCTTATGAAAAAAAAAAAAAAAGTTAAATAGATGTTTAAAATTTTGTTATTATAATTTAAAAAATATGTATCATCTATTACTATTAACAGTAAAATTTAAAGACTTTCATTTTCAATGAAATAAATTTTCTATATACCCGAATTTTAAAAAATTCTAAATTACGTGAACAATCATACCTTACACATCAAACCAAAAAATATATATTTGGTTCTTGCTAAGACTTCTTTCCTTCATTTTTACTTTCAATTTCTTAGCACTTAATTTCTTGATACCGACGCAAACATTCCATTTTGCCAAATTATATACTCCCAATCCTAGGCTGCTTGAATACGAATTTTCTATTCAGCTTGTGGAAGATAGATATTGTCTTGACATGAATTGTTTTGAGAGAAATTCAACTCTGAATTCCAATAGGGCGGCTATAAAAGATTTTTTTTTTTTTGTGTGAGAAAATTATTGGTGATCGGAATCCTATTTGATTGGAACATGACAAGGATATGAGCGTAAAAGAAAATATCCAAAGCATCTTATCCAATGAAAATATATCAGATCGTTCAATCAATTTCAAAATTCCACATGCTTCACTTTTTTTTTTACTATGACATGTTATAATAAACAAAACCAAAAAAAAAAAAAAAAACGTTGAAGATGAAGAAAAAGTAGAAAAAGTAAATTTTTAAAGAACTTTAACTATTTAAATTAATGCATGCATTAGTAATTCAGCGAAGCTTTGAGTATCAAGGACAAAAACATAAAACAAAATACAATCATTGAAGATTTCAACTTGATTTATTTCCTATGCAACTAATTTTCAACTTTAATCATATTAATTTTCATAAGACATCCTAAAATATTCACCATGTAACTTATATTTTAAATCCATTAAGTTTTTAGATATAAATCTTTTATTTAAAAAATTTATAGACATGGGCTTTTTATAAACTCTCATTTGATTTACTCAATTAGGCAACACTTAAGCCATATGTTGAAACAAAGAATTAGATTCGGATAAATAGAGAATAATTATTAAAGTTTGAAATAAATATAAAAAAAAAAAATTTCATATTAAAAAATTCAATATCTTCAGTTTCTTGATGTAATAATTAAAAATAATTTCAAAAATAATTTCAATTAGTAGATAAAAAAATAAAATTGAAACTGAATTTGTTATTAATAATCCAAAATCCAAATAAAGTTGAAAGAGAGTGAGGAGAGCAATCGCTCTAAACTGAGAGTAGGAATTTTTTTTTTTATCTCAATCATTGAAGTTGGTAAAGGGAAGGTTTCTTATCATGAATGAGCTAGGAAAGCAAAGCAAACGACTCCAACATGTGAAAGCAAACCCAACAAGCAAAATTTTTTAAAAACAAAAGGAAAAGGAGAAAAGCATAAATCATTATCATCATTGTTAAAGCTTCCCATCAAAACCCAAACCTCATCCCTAACAAGCACAAGCTGAAAGTTTCTCTAATCATTTGTCTTCCAAGACAAACTTTGTTCCTTTGAGAGAGAGAGAGAGAGAGAGAGGATTGTCTCAGAATTTCTCGCTTTTAATAACCTCCCTCTTCCCTTTCTCTTGGAGTTTTTTTATGTATGAAAAGAAATCTGTAAAGGGTTGAGGAAGTGATATTATTGAAGATAATTTGTGGGTTTTGGTGGTTTTTGAGTTTGTGAGAGATTGCACAGTCAAGATGTTGGGGTGTGAATGTTTTTGTTGGCAAAGACATACTGATCATGAGTTGCCTTTGCCTTTGCCTCAGCCTCACCCTTTTTCTTTGCCTTCTCCAATTCCAGAATGGCCTCCAGGTATGCTTTGCTTTTTCTCTTCAACCCCAAAGACAAAAAAATCCGTTGTTTTTTTGGTATCCTTGTTTTATTTCTTGTTAATTTTCTGGAAAATTAAATTGAAATCTGTTTCCTTTAGAAATATTATGATTACTTGAGATATGAGTTTTTCTTCTTTTTCCCACCTCTTTTTTTTCCTTTTTGAACATTGTCTTTCTTTTAATTATTTGCTATGGATTTTGATGATTATGAAGATTTTTAGCTAATTATTTGGATAATAACAAGCAGTTAAAAAAAAAAAAGAATTTTAGTTATCTGAATTGGAAAGTAAAATAATAATAATTAAAAAAAGAAGAAGAAAAACTAACTAAGTACCAGAATACGATACCTTATAACTTAGTAAATGCCTCAAGGTTTTGGGTTTCTCTCTATTACATTCACTTAAAATAATAAATGCATTTTAATGAGGTGGTTCCAATATTTACTTTTGATTATGTAAATTACTGGGTCATTGATGCTTGGGAGGAAAGTTTTTTTGCCTCTAAACCTTCTTTAATCTTTTGATCAAAATAAAAACCTTGAATTTTTCTTATTTTCTTATTCGATTCCCCTTTTTTGGAGGAATTTCTTCCTTCTCCTTAAACATTAAAACTTTGATTAATTTTAATTAATAAAATCGTAATTTTCTTTGGAACTCTCATGATAAAAAAGAAAACACATATGAACCCGGATCTTAATTCAGTTGGTTCATAAGATATCCAACAAGTCTAACGTTCAAATCTTAGCATATGTAACCTTCAAAAATCAAAATCTAATAGGTCAAGTCCACTTTAGAGATAGCTGCTTTATTTTGTTAGCTTTAGAATTTGTTAATTCTGTATGTTATATTTTGGTCTATAAGTATGACCAAAGCAATAGCTTAAGCAACTTGTACATGAAGTTGGTCAATATTTTAGTGTTATAAACATTCTAGGCTGCTTGAATGTTGAAGTTTGCCCTGAATTTTGGAGTTCATAATTTTAATGCTTAGAAGCTTATAACTCTTGACAGAATTCTCTTTTCTAAAAAGGGTTAGTATCTAATTTTACTCTATTTTTTAATTGTATTTTTGGTACTTAATTTGTTTAAGCTTGGAGGTGTAGGTGTCCCTTTCCCTTTGCTTTGAAGAAAGCAAAAGTTTTATGATTGCTTTATACAGACGTTCTCTGAAAATATTGTTGTTTATTACTCTTGAAATCACCATAGTTCTCTAGGCTTTCAACTGCCAACTTCTTGATGATTGGTAACCAAGAAACAAGCTGATTAATATTCCTAGAAAATTTCTTTTCTGAAACTGATAAGCTTACCTACTTTATTCAATCATTCTATGGTAGTTGTGCTTTCATACATCATGACTGGATATGTGAACTCGCTTTTGATAATGATTGACTACCATTTTCACAGGTCAAGGATTTGCTACTGGGAAAATAAACCTAGGAGAATTAGAAGTGGTTAAAATTACTAAGTTTGAGAGTGTTTGGGGCTGTGATTCGTTGCATGGCAAAGCAAAAGGTGTCACATTTTATAAACCAGTGGGGATTCCGGATGGATTTTTCTGTCTTGGTTATTACTGTCAGCCAAATGACCTGCCGCTGAGAGGGTATGTTCTTGTGGCTCGCAAAAGGGTAGCTTCCGGTCCAGAAGTTTATTGTGACTATGACTCTGATTCAGACCTTCCAGCGCTAAGAAAGCCTGTTAACTATTCATTGATTTGGAGTGCAGATTCACATGGTAATGGTTGTGGCTTCTTCTGGCTGCCAAACCCGCCAGTGGGTTACAAAGCAATGGGAATTTTGGTTACGGACACCCCAGAGGAGCCTAATGTGGAAGAAGTTAGATGTGTCCGAGAAGACCTTACAGAGACTTGTGAAATTAGGGATACCATACTTGCTTCTGATACAAACACATTTCATGTTTGGAACACAAGACCATGCAAAACGGGAATGTTTTGCAAAGGTGTTTCTGTTGGGACATTCTTCTGCAGCACATACTTTGTATCTGAAAAAGAAGAGTTAGAGATTGCATGCTTGAAGAATCTTGACCCCACACTACATGCAATGCCAAATTTAAACCAAATTCATGCTCTTATCAAGCACTATGGCGCAACTGTTTTCTTTCATCCTGATGAAGATTATATGCCCTCATCAGTGCAATGGTTTTTCAAAAATGGGGCCCTTCTATACAAAGAAGGCAAGCTTAAAGGTGAGCCTATTGATTATTGGGGCACTAACTTGCCTAGTGGAGGGACAAATGATGGTTCATTTTGGATAGATTTGCCAGGAGATGATTATGCGAGAAATAATGTTAAGAAAGGGAACTTGGAGAGTGCAGAGCTCTATGTTCATGTAAAACCAGCATTGGGTGGAACATTTACTGATATTGTGATGTGGATATTTTGTCCCTTTAATGGACCAGCCAACCTTAAGATTGGTTTAATGAGTATACAAATGAACAAACTTGGGGAACATGTGAGCGACTGGGAACACTTCACTCTCCGCATAAGCAACTTTACTGGAGAACTGTGGCAAGTATACTTCTCACAGCATAGTGGTGGTGAGTGGGTTGATGCTTTCAACTTGGAATTTATTGATGGTAATAAGCCAATTGTTTACTCATCGCGACATGGGCATGCTAGTTTCCCGCATCCTGGGACTTACCTTCAAGGGTCAGTTAAACTTGGAATAGGAATTAGGAATGATGCTGCCAGAAGCAAATATTTTGTGGACTCAAGCACTAGGTATCAGATTATTGCAGCTGAGTATCTTGGAGATGAAGTAGTTATAGAGCCATGTTGGTTGGAGTACATGAGAGAGTGGGGTCCAAGGATAGTATATGATTCACGATCTGAACTGGATAAGATAATTAATCTGCTCCCATTGTTTGTTCGATTTTCAGTGGAGAACATTTTTGACCTGTTTCCAACTGAGCTTTATGGTGAGGAAGGGCCAACTGGACCGAAGGAGAAGGATAATTGGGTAGGAGATGAAAGATGTTAGTTTCGATGTGTAACTTTGCACGAAGTCCATACGTTCCCTGCTTTCTTGTATACAGTCATACTGGGGATGGTTTTAGGTGTACTAATGGAACTGCAAAAAGTAGCTTGGTGAGTTCTTTCCCGTGTAAAGTTGGCAGAAACAGTGATCTGATTTCTTCTTCAAGAACGAAGGTTGCACTCCTGGTCCTGGCACAATTTGGTTTGTGGGCAACAACACTCACACTTGAGTCAAAGGCGGAGGTACTATGCATCTATGCAGCATTCTCGTACTATATACAAATTCATTTAGGTTCATAGAAAGTAGGTTCCAGTGCAACCGGAGCTCTAGCTGCACTTAGATAAAGAAATTCTGCAGCTATCATTCATTGTAGTTTTATTCTTAAATATGGTCTTATGCTTATAGCTCCTCTACTAGTTCTTGTTCTTGTAGTTGCAAGTGACTTGCCATGAAATCCAAGAATTTCATGTCTAAATTTGAATTTGAAAAAAGGAAAAAGAAAAAGCTAAAGCCCTTAAAATTTCTGTCAAACCTGTTGTGTTTGGGCAGTTCTTGTTGTCCATGTTTTTTTCATGTCTTATTCAGTAATATATAAGTTATGTATTACATGGCTATTGTGCATATATAAATCATGGCCTCACACCGGTTGGATATGTTTCTTTGCTTTTAAAATTTATATATAATCATAGTAATTGGTTATGATATGAGCTATGAAAACCTTAAAGAAATAAACATCTTGATACCATGTACAATTTAGCCTTAAAAAACTCAAGACATGAAAAGAAAAAAAGTAGCAAAAGATTTCGAGTAGTGCAGAGCTTTAGTGCTGCAGAAGCACATAAATATTCATTACTCATTTCATTAAAATGGATCCTAAAACTCAGATACCCAGAGGGCAAATTCCTGTCAGTTCAAATTTACACTGCCTCCCACACCTGCCCTTCAAAAATTTAAACTTTATCAAGTTCTTCATAACAGAATTTCAACCAACCATCCCCATCCCCCAAAGAAATAGAAACAAAAAGATCCTGTGTAAACGGGCAACAATAACGGGGCCCCAAAAAATATATATTGTGTTCAAAAGGAGATTGAACTGAAATCATATCAGCTGGCACGTACAGTCACAACAAATTACATTTGATAGACCATGAACAAAAAATTGATCTCTATTTGTTACCTTGCCATTTTGCTGTCCCTCTTTAAGTTCTCCCAGCTTATCTCCTGGGCACATTCCCCACATACAGTACTACAACCAAATTTTGTACCCTGGCTTCTAAGAGTGAGGAGGTGGGCAAGATTAGTGCATTTCCGTTGCACAATCCGACTCCTGAAAATACCCTTGGGTAGTGTAAGGTTAACCATCTCGGGCTCTGGTTTAGGAGGGGCGACATCTGGAACAACAGGCTTGCGCTCTACTGCAGATTCATCAAGGGATACTCGCTGCACCTGCTCCCATTCTAAGGTTTTCCGATAGACTTCCCAAGCCATATCTTGCTCCTCCTTTGAGAGCTTTTCATCTTCATTCTCTTGCAAAAGGGTCTCATGTTCATGGTAATTGGCAATCCACCTAAAAACATCAATAATAGATAAGTTACTCTGATAATAAAAAGGGACTCAGGTCAAACTTATTTGATGATAGCAAGGAAATTTGCTTATATGCTACATTACGTGGCACTCAAACAGCAGAATCAGATAAGAAGCATATAATTTTATTCATTTTTCTTTAAAAGGGAAAAAGAACATGAATACAACGTAAAGAATGGATATAGTTATTCCTAGCTAATAAAAGCTAAAACCAAGAGACAAACAAGTAAAAACAGACTGACAGCACCTTGGATGATGCTTGCCGAGTAAACTTTCCATTAATTTGTCAGAGGAACAGCTTCCATGAGAAGGAGGCATCTTCTGCTTCAGTGACTTTCCAATTTCACAAGTCACGTTTTGATTTCCATTCTCTTCACTAAGTTCCATCAAAGAATCAAAATTCTCTTCATCACCAAATTCAAACAGATGTAACATCTCCTCCTTAGAGATGGTCCTATGTACTTGTTGTCTATCTACCACCCTGGCAGCAAGACCTTCTTTCGTCACCTATTTGCACCATTTACTAGTCAAAATGTTATTCAAGAAACCAAAAACAATGATGGACAAAAAGGTTTCCTTTACCTGACGCTTATAAATTTTTTCTTCCATAGTCCCATGTGCCATCAATCGATAGGCAAACACTGGCTTTGTCTGGCCATATCTATAATAATAGAAAAACATATTATGCAATTAAAACATGTGAGAGTAAAAAATAACCTTTAATTAACAGAAATAAATGACTTAAACCCACCTCCAAGCCCGATATATAGCTTGAAGATCATATGTAGGGTTCCAAGATCCATCAACAATAATTACACGGTTTGCAGCATATAAATTAATCCCAAGAGATCCAGCTCTGGTAGAGATCAAAGTACACTTGACTCTTTTATTCATTGGCTCATTAAACCTCTCAACCAACCTTTGCCTTTCAGAACTTTCTGTTCTTCCATCCAGCCTGTATGGCACGTTGCAAAGGAAAGAGAGCTTGAGACATTTTATTCTCAGAATTTTTTACAATATCTCATACTTACAAAAAGCAGTCTTGTTAAGTACAAACTTAGATCACAATATGCTATTTATTAAAAATGAACCGGCTTCCAAGCAAAATAAGGTACACTTTTGAAGAAGTTTACAACATAATTCAAAAATGTTTATGCAGCAAAAATTATTTTATAGAAAAGCAGTCATGTTCAAACACACATTCACCATAACAACCAAGTGGATTAACAGAAAGTTAAGGCATCAAAAGGGGTATGAAATTAAACAAATTTAACAAATTCTAGACAGTTTCCACTGAATACACGCACCTATACCAGTCTTTCCCCTTTTTCCAGAACTTCCCCTTTTTTCCACGTCTGGGTAATCTTGAAAGATATAGTTCTATCAGATCTAAAGTTGGAATGCTCTGACTAAAAACCAGTGCCTTGTCACCCACATCTGAACACATGGTTATGATATCAAGCAGCAAAACCATTTTGCCACTGTAATCAAGCTCTTTATAATTATTTTCATGAAGAAGATCTCTCCACCAACCCTTGTAAGGTGAAATATTCAAGCATCAGCATGATAAGAACAAATTTAATATAGTCAAAAGCTATTGTCTAATGAAGTTATGTAAAAGGCACATAAAACCAACAAATAAAACCAAATAAATATCCGCATACCTTTTGAATAAACCCATAATCATTTTTCTCTTGAAGAGAATCATTCATATTCCTTGTTTTCTCTGTAATACAAGAAGCACAACCATTTAAACACAAATGTTAAAACACATGAAAACCTAATGATTGAATAGAGAAAACTTTCCAATGAGTCTATAAACTATCAACATGTCTCAATGACTGGAAATGGAAGAAGAAACTGCAAAAATACTAATTCATTTTCTGGCTAGTGAAAGCAGTAAGACCAATGCAGACAAGACCTGGAAACCTACCAGATAGCCCACTATGGCTAGTACTAAATCTGCAATTTCACACCCTGAAAGGGCAGAGTATGTATCTGATGATGATCTCCCCCCCCCCCCAATTTTTTTTTCATGTGTGGAAGAGAACAGATACTTAAATCAACACACATGATAAAGTCTCCAAAGTAATAAGTTGAGACTTACTCCATATTTATCTAACTAATAATGACTCTATGTTATTCTATCCAAGCTTCAAAAGAGATATTTCTAAATTCAAAGCAAGTACTAGGATTTCAATACAAAACTAATACCCCCTGAATTCCGCGGATCATGAGAACAACATACAAGTCTAAGAACAAGTAACATCAGTTCGCTGCATTTAGAAAACAATCAACCTTATCTAATGGAGCCATAAATTTAAGACTAACATATTCAGTATGCAGATATGACATGTCCACACATAAAAAAAGCTAAGTACAGGAAGCAACAAAGAGAAAGTGTGAATACCTCCAACAGCCACATTATAATCCATATTTTCATCACTGAAGCTATCATCTGCAAGAAAGTTTTCAGCAGTATCTTCACGACTAATATAGCCTCTATCTTCTTTGTTCAATTGCAGTATCCCAGGATGGTTCCATATCTACAAAGGAAAAAAAAATAGCTCCATCAACACAAAATGCATTCAAAATAATTTTTTCTTTTAAGGAAAAAAGTAGGAAGATGAATAGAACAAAATTCACATAAATCCTTCTACAATTTCAATTTTCAACCCATAAAGTCCAGAAAAGATCAAATATTTTATTGCAAGTTAAAAGAACCCCAGATACGTCATGGAATCTAGAACTTAGGAAAATATCAAGGTTTATTCATGATTTTCATTTCTCAATCCACAAATATCTATCAGTTGAGAATTGCTGAAACCAATCTCTTCCGGACAATGAATCTCTTTTCCTTGACTTCTTCAAACGCTGCTCCAACAAAATAATGTAGTAGAATACACCTCCTATCACTTAAGGAATAAGGCACCAAAATATTAAAAAAAAAAAAAAAGAATGGAAGAAATCTCCATCACTCGAACAAGGGTGCGTATAAAATACCCAAAAAAGTGAGAGCACATTATTTTCTAAACAAGTTGAAGTGCACCTAGATATTAAGAATGGTTTGTCCAGCTCTTTGTGATATCATGGATCTACTTTGGCAGTCAAGTAAATGTCAGGCGCACACCTATTGTAATTTACAATGGCATTTTGTAAAAACTTCATAAACAATCAACTTCATCTAAAATTTTAATTCCAGAAGCACATTAGTCTTAAAGATCCTTGAACAAAAGAGAGGGGTTAAGGCTTATAAATGCATCCATTAATGCTCAAGAATGTTGCATGTGAAGAATCTTGCACAACTCTTGGTGAGACTAGCAGGACAATGTGGAAACTCAGTGGTAGCTCAAGTTTTAAGTTTTCCATACATCTCTACATATTTGACTTGGTTAACAGGATCTACCTCAATTTTTTTATTGGTTCATTATTAGACAAACAAACCAAACCAAAATTTAAACATACTGATCCCAAGTCATCAGAGAGTTGTTTCCATCCCTAATTTAAAGGTGCATTCACTTAAAACCTGCAAGGGTTGTGTGGCCATGCATGCATGCATCCATGTGATAAAGCAACTACATAAACTTAAGGAACAAGCTGTATAAGATTATACCTGAGCCAAGGCCTGGTAACCAGCAAAAAAACTCTTCCTAATTTTTTCATTAGAAGCTCTGTCATTTGTAAAACCATGTACATCAAGGAATCTCTTGTAAAGCTTCCGCTGTAGTGGAGAAAGCTTTACAGCAATAACGAAGACAGTTTTAGGAGGCAAGTCTTTTTTCACCACACTCATATCCATTCTCTGAACAAATCCTTTTAATTGCACATAAAGGATGTGAGACCTTTGATTCATAATTTTCACATCTTCATGCGTTGAATTTGTGTGCTGACCATTTTCTATTGGATTCTGGAAACTGCATTTACAGAAAACCAAGATTTCATCAAAATGACAAAAAAAAAAAGACGGGGAAGAATGAGGATGATATAAGAGTCCTTGCCGGTTCCGAAACTCATGGCTGCTTCCAAGAAAACCTTCTCTTACAAAATCAACCATCTGTTTGAAGGAAACCCAATAAGAACTGTGTACGGTATATACAAAAAAGAGATAATTTGATGAAAAAAATAGCTCACACAGTAGTACTCCATGAGATTGTTCTGAAGTGGTGATCCAGTTAAGGCAATCCTCCTCTGACACTTCACTTGTTTCAAGGCCTGGGTTGTATCAGCCCTGGTGTTCTTAATAGTATGGGCTTCATCACAAACTAGTATATCAGGCCCATCCTGGAATTGGAAATAAAGTTGATTCAAAGGCAGAAAAACCTTAGAAATCATTGTGAAAGAAAGTAGATTTGTCCAAAAGTGATGCAAAATAAAGATAAATATATATCAAATCATCAGTTACAGACCTATACTATAGTCAAATCACCTCAAGTCATACAATCTTCATGTCCATTTTTCAATTTGCAAACAAAGTCAATGCTTCAAAAATAACACAGGCCCAGCATTGCAGTTCACATCAAAATTAATGAAAATTTTATTTTGTTCCACTACTGAGTATAAGTGCACAAGCAAACACATACTAGTAGTTTATAATGAAATCTAAATCCATTTTGCTAATAAAGTAGCAATTTCTAAACTAATCAGATAATAATCTTGGTTAACCATACATTCAAACACTATTTCCCACGAGTCAAATTTACCATATTAAATATAATCATTAAAAATTACATGGTGTGTTGCTGAAGATTATGGCAATCACCTGCAGAGCATCACAAATATCTCTAGCCATGTGTCGGTCCTTCACATGCTTTCCCAGAGACAAGTTTCGAAAAGCAGCATAGCCAATCAAAAAAACTCCACCTTTAGTTCTCCACTTGGTAAGCAATTTTGCCCGTCTCTCCCTGACAAAAATTCATGATTGCAGTAAGCATATCAGACAGTTGATAAATTCCTTTTTTTTTTGTGTGTGAGTGTCTTTAACCTAAATCAACAGCAATTCCCACAAAATCGAAGAGAACAGGGAAGGAGTCACAAAAATTAATTGGCCTCTTAATAGAGCAGCACAAGATGATTTCATTTTTTTTTCTTGTTTCATTTAAAGACTTGATTGCACAAGTTCACAATCATTTCTAAGGTGCAAATGTGTTACTTCCTTGCTAATTCTTCTCATGATAGATCCTACCCTTCTTGGAGTTTTATCTAGTATTTGTCCTCAAGAACATGCAAAAATTTCCTCCTTATCCTACCTTGAAGCTGATAAATCTAATCTTTGCCAGACGCTTGCTTCCTCTAGTGACACATGTTTTAATGAACTTGGCTTCTACCACTCTAAAACAGCAAGTCCTAATTTATGCTAACAAGTTTCAGTTTTTCAAGATCAACTGCAAGGCAGGATTTTCTACTCTATCCTGATCAACTGTACTCTAACCAAAGAAAACAAAATCTTTCTTTTAGATTGACACTTACAAAGGCATAAAATTTGGGTATGCCATGATTTATGCACATAATAACACTCACCTACAAAGTTATAACTATACTAAAACATGGCAAAATAGGAAACACTTCTAATTAAATATTGTTAAAATAAAAAACTGAACCTTGGCACATCTTCTAACATGAAGACACGAAGGGGCTTTACTTCTGAAGGCCTCCACTTCATGAACTCCTGCCGCCAGTTATGCAGCACATTTACAGGAGTGACGATAAGTGCAGTTTTTAATCCCAAATCAACACTTCTCATTGCAGTGTACAAGAAAGCTATAACCTGCAAGTACAACTGGACATGTCAGGCAAGCTAACCTGCCAAAAACTTGGACTGCCAGGAAGAGAAAGTGATCACTAGCAATGGGAGCACCACAAGGTCACAATTATAATACCAGAGCATACACTTACAGGCATGTCTGCATATAGACACCTAAAGAAAAAATGTGGGCAGAAAGAGAGGGATAGAGAGAAATGAAGAAGAAAGAGTGAATATACCTGAAAAGTTTTACCAAGGCCCATCATGTGAGCTAGAATGCAACCAAGACCTTTATCCCCAGACCTCACTTTTGTGATTGACTGTATAATGTTTTCCCACATAAATCGGATCCCTGCTATCTGCAGCAACAAATCAACCAAAAAGACATTGAACACTGTTTGAACATACTAGCATCAGCATCAATAAAGACCTTCAACCAAATTCTCTTATAAAAGCCAGACCCAAAAAAAAGGATAACAAAGAAAAAATGAACCTTCCTAACATACACTCACCAACCCCAGTTTCCTATGCTTAAAATAACATAAAGTTTATAATATAAGTCAGTGGGAGAAAATATTGCTATGAGAATGGTTTGATGTATCTAGATTCAATCCTAAGTCCTGACATATCTTTTTATAAGCATGCTCACAAAATCCAGATTTCCTATGTCAGAAGCCAAGTTTGATTTCTTGTCAAAAGTTACATCTTAGTATAATAATATAAAAGGAAGTAACTACAACCAGATGAAAATTTTCAGCATACTAGAATTTTACATAATCAAGCAAACTAAATTAACTTCAATAATAACATGCCCAAAGCAAAGGATAAATAATCTAGGTAAATGACAAAGACCAGCAGCAAGTTCATATCAATAACTTAATGCAAGTATGAAACAGAAACCTGATGGACTTTCAGTTTGGCTGATATGCTTGGAGGAATCCTTACAGCTTCTTCACCATCCTCCCTCCTCACATTCACTATATAACCAGTAATGGCATCACCAAGCACCTCTACACTAGCCTCATTTAATAAGTTTGTAGTGCAGCTTGAAGAGTTCATCATGTTATATTTTGCAGAAAACTGCATTGACTTTAAGCACTCTTGCCGTTCCTACAAAATTGAGAGCACAATGCAAAATTCAGTACCAGAAACCAGTTTGATTGAAAAAGAAGCAACTCAGTATAAATTACCTTTTCTATTGCAATTTTCCTCTTTGTCTCTTCTCCTAATTCAGCATCATCAAGGATCCTTCTAATTTTCTTTTTCCGCTTTCTCTTAGAGCTAGTACAGAAACACAACTGGATATCAACTCAAAAAATCAAGCCTTAACATATTCAGCAGAGTTAAATGCTAATTGTTCAAATTTGAACTCTGCCAAATAGTCACCATGAAACCCCTTGACATTCAATATCAATGGCTAATAGAATGGATGTGGCTACAAGACAATGGTTCATAATGACATTACACCCATTGGATGCGTCAACCTCATGAGTTTAACTTTTAAACTTTACATCAAATGGCACAGAATATCCTTAAAAAGAAAAACATGGGACGAAGACTAGCAAAAAATGCATAATCTAACACAAAATAAATCCATCAAAACAAAACCTGAATGCTAATTTGTAAACAAGAGACCATGATGTTTATGTGTAGGTTGTAAGGATGGTAGCGCATGAACTGCATGGTTTAGAAACAAGGAATACATTGAAGCATTAATTATCTTGGGTCTGCCCCGAATCTAGGAAAGCAAATGAGTACTGAAAACATTAGTTTGTAGTGTATGACCAAGAAAATTTATCTAACAAGCAACCTTCATGTCTTATAACAAACATTGTTAAAGAGCATTCTTGACTCCAATAAGATGTGTCATAATACTACTAATACAAACTAGGAGAAGACAAGCATAAATAAATTTTTTAAGGCATATAAAAGATGAAGAAAAAAAAAAAAGAAAAAGAGACTGCAGATTGTCTAAAATTTTCAGATCTCAAAGGATTATAATGTACCTGATGGCAGTATTAATGTTGGTATCTGAATTCTCTGACTCACTATCAGAGCTAGAAACTATTGTATCTTGAGATCCCATTGCTCTCACTAGTTCTGATGTTAATTTTTGCAAAAGACTTGGCAAGCAGCAACAACATTGCCAACCAGAGGCCAGGACGTCAAGCATGAATTCTTCACCAATATTCCTCCTTATACACTTGGTACAAAATAATGTTTTGCATGACTTGCAACTTACTAAGTCATTGCTTTGTCCGCACCATCCACAATAACACTCTGAGCAATCAGTGTCCTATCACAATGGAAAGAGTCATACCTTACATATTTACTAATCAATTTTAACAGAAGCCCCAATCGAAACAAATTATGTAGTGGGGTATTTCATGGTAATATTTAATAATGTATCACCAAAATATTGTGGACACTGCAATTAGTACCTTCATATGCATCTTTTCTTCCAGCAAGCATTTGCAATCCATGCAAATAATTACTTTAAGAAGTGGATGTTGCTGCACTTCAATAGCCAATTTATGACAAGCAGTACAATTAAATTTCTCAGTCATAAGCTGTGAAGAATTAGATTCAATCTCAACAGCATCATCATTTTTTTCTGGCAAAGTAAACTGATCCTCCAATTTGGAGGAAATCAATTCATCCTTCACCATAATATCAGTTTCATCATCACTAGCTATGATAACAGTTCGGGCCTTCTTATTATTGTCATTACCCTCCATATCTTCATTTGAACGCTTGGACCCTATGGGTTTACCAGAATCAGACATATCTGACTCAACATGCCCTGAGGGCATGCCATTAGCACCAGACAGTGTCCTGTCCAGCTTACAAGACTCAAAACATTCGAGCACATCAGTCTTCAAACCCTGATAAGCAACCCCATTTTCATTATTAGGGACACCTTCCCTATCTTCTCGATTTTCCTTGTTTGAAATTGAGTTAGAATCGTCTTCTAAAGGCTGGAACTGATCTAAGTTGCTTTCTATCACCTGATCAAAAGAGCAACATTCTCTGAGGGAACATGTTTTAGTAATATAAAAAGAGAAAGAATGTTAAGTCCTTGCATGCATAGGCATATCTTATTAGTTTCATTTGAGGCCCCAAAGAATCTTGCACAATAGTCTAAATTAATGAACACCATAAAAAGCATAATATATAATGGGTTGTAGGTATATGCTATTGCTAACATTTTGTTTTGGACAGATAGATATATGCTAGCATAGAAATCAAAAGAAAATTTCACATACTGGGAAAGCTCTTAATGTCACTAAGAAAGCAGGTCAGCTTCAAATTTAAGACTGACACATGCTCTTAATGCACATTGCACAGCCTTGTTCCTTGAATATTTGGCTCTCAAAATCCATTGCAACATCTATTTTTGCCCAAGTGGCATGAAAAGAACATTAAGATGACCTAACAAGATTATTATTTAAACAAGTATAATTTTTTGGCATTATATTAAATTCTAATGGACTCGACTCAAAAGAGCATGAGTCCCATCAAAGCTAACAACTCCAGGATTTTTGAAGCTATAAAAGGATTCAGGAAGAAAAAACTCTAGGACATTCTGTCTATTGAATCAATGGAACCGGTTAGTATAATCTGTTCAATTTCACAGAATTTTGAATTCAAAAATGAATCATAAGATTGGGGAAAACCATTAAACATCTAATAACAAGGATTCAACTACATCCTTTGTAATGTCGAATTGTTGCCATTTGATCAACTAGCATACATAATGAATATATTAAGAAGCTTTCTTGTCTTGTATTATTGGATTTTATTGTTAAGCAACTTCCTAGAGTATTATGCATCTTTTCTTGGAAATAAAGTTGACTATTTGTTGCCCCTTTTTTTGGAGGTACCTTTTGAGTAGTCTTCTGTGCAGGAGCCATAGTCTTTGGAATAAAGGACTAGTCCAAAAGTCTCCATAAATACCTACACGTATTCTAGTACATTTCTGACAATGAAACTTAAGTGTTTGTTTTCTTCACAAATAACTATTCACAGCAGGATCATATCACCTTATTGTAGTACAATTAACCAATCACAATTCAAAATTATATGGGGTTCATCAAAATTTTGTTTGTAGCCCACACTTATAAGTGGTGGACCCCTACATATTTCTTTATTGTGATTGGACAACTGTAGGATTGTAGTAAAAAAAATTGTAGGAGATATGCTTCCATTCACAGCACAATAGCAGCACTGCTTAACCTAATTTCTTCCTCCCCATTGCAATCAAGTTCTCTGCTTGTACTATCAAAGCGCTAAACCTTCTAAAAAATTTTCCTCCAATTTTTACCAATTGATCTTCCAAGTGTAACTGAACATCCATCTCATATTATAACTGTAAACAGAAACACCTGGAATTTCTTGAGCCCAAACAAACAAAAGCCACATTTTTATCAGTTCTGTCCTATACTAGGGGAACTCAATTCACTAAAACAACCTTATGTGTTGCTACAACATTCAGCTCTATATTCTTTGCTCTCAAACTTGTAAAATAACCATATGAAAGGCAACTTAAATTTCATCAATTTTCAGCCTCAATGCATGAGAGTTTCATCTCTTTCAAGTCAATGATAATATGTCCCAGATATTCAAAAAATTTCTAAATTAATATTCTTCAACTAATCTAGGGCAACACAAACAGAAAAAGAATAAACTTAATCAAACAGAAAACCTGTTTAGATCTCCTTTGACATCTCCTCTGTTTCAAACGCAGATGAAACTTCCGGTCAATATTTGCATCATCCTCCTCTTGGACCTGTCAATACATCTAGATGTTCATGCATGGATATATGAGCTGTAGGAGTTAAACATTGTCCAAACAGGTATCAACAAGCAGAATAACCATTTATAATAATAGAAGAAAACAAACCGTTATCTTTTACACTATCAAATGCCCATGACACTTAGCAAATTCTATCACTAGTGACTGCACAAATGAATAGAATCCAAGATGTGTCCCACAAGAAGACCAGATAATCAATCAGAGAAAGATATTAAAAAAAAAGTAACATTTGGAAACAAGATTTTGAAAAAATGATGAGCACTCCAATGTATCACTTGGAAAATATGACAGAAAATTACTGGAAGTCATCAATGCGGAGGACTGCTATTTACATTATGCCCGGTTGCTGGTGCTAAAATCACTCACTTTTTAAAGTGTGGAGTTACTTGTAGATTTGGTTAATAAATATATTGAACATCAATAGATGGATATAGTAAGAAACTAAACATACATTTCCGCGTAGTAAAAATTCTGGGAACCAAGAATAATTATACCAAACGACACTGACTAACCTTTCTAAAATTTTTCCTTTGCTCTTCGGAAAGAATCATATCTCTTTCATTTTCTATGGCATCTGCAACCAGCGGATTAGCTGAACTGCCATCAATATCTTCAATCTCCTCCACCTGGCCAAAAAATATTTCCAGCAACTTCATCCAAAGAACACCGATCTATACAGACTAGGTTACAGCAGTTTCATAAAAGAGAAAATTTGAGCACTACAAAGCAGGTAAATCATCGAAAGATCTTTTCTTTAAGAAGAAATCTTAGATTTTTGACAGAAATTATATCCATGAACGAAAACATTACTAGATGCCGTAGAAGCACTCTCTAAAAATAGAAGTTAAGAGTCATGAGCATTCCATATTGTAATATATCACCTCATCGACTCCAGGAAATTTAAGTCCCATTAATGCAGCTTGCTGCGGGGTGCTGGCCAAGTAGACAGAAGCCCAGTTCTTACTGCCAAAACAGGCACCATCCTCAGTTAAACCATCAGAACATATTTTCATGAATGAGCTCCAGTCCATGTCTGAGCTTTGTGTTACTGCCTCCTGGCTAGCATCACTCGAAAGCTTCTTTTGAAGAAATCCGCTAGCACCCTCCTCCAATAGTCTACCATGTTTCCTGAATCAAAAACATAGATCCACACAAATCAACTTTAAGCCTTATAGAGCAGAACTAGGGTACCCCATTTACTAACAAAACGTGGATGTGGTAGATGAACTTTCACAGTACAATACTAGGGTTTAGTTCTAGAAACAGACATGTCACAAAAGTACCCAATCCAGAATCAAGGACCCCGGATTTGGGTAAGGCCTTAGGGTTGAGCAGTAGTGCTCTCCTTTGTACCTCTTACACCCAAAAAACCAACCATAAACCACAAATACATAGGCAACATTTCACACAATGGTGGCTAATTAACTAGCAGAAACAGATATTCTCCTTTTTTTTTTTTTTTGTTTAAGTCAACAATCAAGAAGAACACAACAAATAAATTAAGGATTCAAATATTAAAAGGTAACACATGGGTAATATCTATCTACATTATATAGTACACTTTAGAAGTACTCTCCCAAACGTTTTTGCCAAATTCAATTGATATATTGCTGCTCACTCAATAAATCACAATCCTAAGGGCAGAATCATACCTCCTTACAGGCCTCTGGGTTTGAAGATGCTTCTCAGCATCAGCTAAAGACTCAGAAATTTCACTAGTCACTTGAGATCCTACCCAGTGCGATCTTCTTTTCCAAGCTTCAGTAGAGCAACCATTCAGAACTTGACTCTCAATCCACTTACAAAGGCTGGGTAAATCAATACCAGCCCCATCAAGTTGTTCCTGTTCCAAAAGAGCAATTTCAGGAATAAAAATAATTTATAGACAGAAAAAGGGAAAGTGTAAGAAACTGCAATTGACACTCAAACAAGCAACAGCTCAAGAACTAGAAACTTTGATAGAATAATCATGTAACTAAAAAAGTTAATGATATAAACAATGCAATATCAACTACCTTGGATTCCACTATTTGATTGGGAAGAATATGTAGCAAGAAAGAAACAGGTAGAAAGAGATTATTGAAGCTAAGTAAACTCAAGGCTTCTTGGGATAGAATTTTATTCCCATTATCAAGCAGCCAGAAAGAGGGGAAGGGAGGATGTAGGAGTGAAAAAGTCCATTCATGCCCTAAACATCGCTCAACAGTTTATTTTTAATTTCCAAAAAAGGAAAAAAGGTCAAGATTGGTCTCTAGGTTGCATCTAAAGAAGAAAAGATGAGCTGAGACATCAATCAACATTTTGTTTTTCATCTCCCAAGAAAGGAAAGGAAGGTCAAGGCTGGCCTATAAAGCACAATTTAAATTTTAAAGGATAAAATATGAGCTGACATTCAAATGTTAATTTTGCTACAGAAAATTAATTTTATTAATAATAATAATAGTACTTATTGACACAAAAATATATGTATTAAGAATCAATGGTTTTTATCAAGACAGAAGAAAGAAGCAGACCAACAATTGTGCACTTTCACTCTCAAATTCATCTAAAACACCTTCCCATTGCTCTGTAAACGTAGCCATTTCATCTGCAACAGCCGTCTCCAACTACAAACAAAGTAAAAAGCATCAGAGATAGGAAAGGATAACAGAATTATAACGAGACAGAAACAAGAGTGTTAACTAACATCATCACCCTGAAGAGTTTGTGCCAGCTCCTCTCTCACTTCACTCTCCACTCTAGCAAGAGACTCCTTTTCAAGTGTTTCTTGAGCCTCTGCAGCCTGAAATGAGTCTGAGAAAATATTGCAACATAATAAAGAAAAAAAAAATCAAAGTTGACAGAGGAAACTTAATACCTTGCTCTCAACCTCCAAAAACTCAGAAATCAGATCTTCTATTTCCTTCTCAGTCAAAGACTGCTGCAGAATTAAATGGACAATGGAGAAAGTGTAAATAAGTGCCAAAAAGATACAAGCATTTGAAACAGAGAAGAATCTAAAATAGCAACACTAAGGATTCTTAAATCTATCAGAGGGATAACAGTAATCATAATGAAAAGGAAACATCAAAATTGACTTGCCTCAAAATGCAATCCATCATCTTGTCCCAATAGTGATGGTTCATCATCATCCGAATCAATTATAAAAGAATCACTAGAGGCACTCTCAACATCTTCAACTCCCTCATGTTTTTCCTCCATCTTTTATTGAAGTAGCATCAAGAAAGAAAATAACCTTCTGAAGCAGCACCTAGGAAGATGACAATTAAAACATATCAGCAAATTGGCAAGGCACCACTCAATCAACCTAGAGAATCGCATTCTGTCTCAGCATGCAACAAAAAGGAAGCAGCAGTATCAATGCGGTGAGTTACGGACATTCGCATCAAAATACCCAGTCTTAACAAAACTTCCTCTTGACTTCTCCATTACGCTGGGACAGTTGCATGAGGAACCATCATGTATAATAGGATAGTATATATCACATCGGCAGTAAGAATAATAGAAAAAGATCATCCAAAACTGGGTCAAAATCAGAGGCAATCAGCTAAGTTTGAAACAGCTTGAGCTTCAAATTTCAATTCTCCATATGGAAACTTGCAAGCTCCAAATGGTCCTCGAAGGAAATGGTTACTTCCCCTTTAAATAACAAATCTATCATGCAAGATACAGCAATTAAAATGAATAACAAACTACTTAGAAATATCTCTCGTGATTTATTTTCCTTTTCATGGCAGGGGATAAGAACAAATGAATTATTACACATGTAGCCAATTTAATGGCACTGCTTACGTGTCATGTTTAATTCAAATAGAAAACAATAATGCATGACAAAATAGGCTTTTATAATTCACCTAACTAGAGTGTACAGAATAGGTCTTAGTTATCCTTTGTTATTAATGGCTGACCCCAATATTAGATTCCCTTTTAGAACAAAAGGGAAAGCTAGATGATAAGCTCTGCATGCAAATGGGACTTCAAACTCAACTTGTTTACCACAGTATTCTTACTCAAAATCATTTCAGGCATTGCCATCAAGCAGATTTGAAAGTGGGTTTCCTTCGCTGATATCAATCAACATGACATCTCTTCCAGATTGAGATGATATAAAAACGCAAATAGAAAGACCCAAATAGTTGTGAAATTCGTCAACAACCTAACATTCATTGTGCTTTTCTATGATGGTAAAAGCTCGGATGCTGTTCACTGAAGGTTGGTGTGAGGATGAAAAGCAATGTCTCCCACCTGAAAAGCTACCTTGTGGGTTTCCAAGGGTAGTATTGAACATAAGAAGAGAAGACTTCTCTAGCACAAAGACAAGGAAATATGGTATCAAAATTCATATTCAGGGAACCTCATCAAAATTTTCTACTTAACTTTATTTTCCTTTTGGTGACATCACATGGAGCTGTTCAAAATAAATAAGCTTAATCTTTGTCTTGTTGCAGCGCGGGGAAGCTTTTAACATACCAGAAACATTCTTCTGTCCGATACTAATTCAATTAATTACTACTAAAGGAAAAAAAAAAAAAAGCATTCTCCCATGTGTTCACCCAATGTGTTGTGCTAATATGCCTTAGAACCTTTACCTATGCCATTTGGTCCTTCCACTTGGAGATTTTCATACAAAGGAAAGTAAGATTTTGATGGAAAAAAAGGGTAAATAAGATGATATTCTCAACTTAACTAACCCTTGATCACAAGCTAGTTGAGGTCAACTTCATGAATTCACTTGCTTCATTCCAATTAGTCAACCTATATGCTCTGAAACATATAATGGGACCATTCCAAAAAGTTTTTATGACTTTTCTTCCCTCCTACTTGGATAAAACTGTTCTTGTGCACCAAAGAATCCCTAGGCATCCACTGCACATGACAAAACCATCTAAGTCAACCTTATCTCGCCTCAGCCTAATTAGTGCCACCTCTATCCTTTTGCAAAGAACTTTAATAATTATATTTTCCTGTTCTGGTTAACTGGGTGTCCACCTCAACATCGTCATTTCATCTACCAGCATTTTCAGCTCAATAAGATGATATTCCAAAACTAGATAAACTTTTAGCATGCTCCATCTTTATAAATTAGCGAACCAGCAAGAAAAATATTAAAGCTGTTTCTTTAAAGAACCATAACCGACACAAAAAGATACTAGATAAATTTAAATGCAAAGGTTCATATAATTAAAACTCAACTTGAAAAGTAAATTTGGAAAAGCCTTAATTGAATATGCAATACAACTATCACCATAAAAATCACATATTAATAATTCATCAAAAAACATGCTAGGTTTTATATTCTTTATTTTATAATAAAGTGTTTGCAAATGCATTGGACTTGCAACACTCCTCTATGTATGTAACCAAGTTGGTGAACATTCGAGTATAACTGTAATATTAGGGAATAATGAAACCATCTTAAGTTGATAGACAAATGCATCTCCACTTCATTCTAAAACTCAAATATGAATCCACCTTTATCATACCCAGAAAAGGTCACTAGAAAGGAAGGGAAAAAAGTGACTGTAATATCAGGTTGGACAGTAGTTTTTGGTGAAGGTCTTCACCAGAGAAATCAACTTCCAAAACTGAATTCTTCTTAACACGCTATAACAAACATAACAGCACAAGTCCTAGGAACAACCATTCAAAACAAAGAAATCAAAATCATACCTAATCACTTCTTTGGACATAACCCACACCAAGGACACAAACTAGCCCCACAATTAAGTCTAATTTATTTAGCATTTTTTAACTAAATCCGTACTTCTAATCAAGAAATGCACTTCCAAAACACCCATGTTTTTCAAAATTTTCCCATTACTTAGTATAACACACTAATAAACCCTCTAATATGAAAAGCATTAACCTCATTAATTCTTTGGAAAAAAAAAACCCTAACTTAACAGAAAATTACAGAAAACATATCAACCAACAGAAAAAAATAATGACAAGATAAACACAAAAACATGGCCGCAACTAAGTAATACCCAGTTATTAGCATTTTGAACTAATCAAATTCCCTAATAAAACAAAAAAAAATTAAATATCATAATTATAACCCAATTTCCACCCCGAAAAAGCAATAAGAAACCTCTTAAAAATCTCGCATTTCCAAAATTTTCTCATTTTTTATCCAAAAACTCTCTTGAACCCCTAACACAACAACGTCATTAACATGCCCAATAACTTGAAAACCCTAAACTAATAAAAATATCAAATGAAAGAACTATGACTACAAATCATTGAGAAAAAAACGAACATTAGATTCGAAGTTCAAGTTCTATTTAACTTCGACCCACGGTGACTTGGATGAGCCGCTGTCCAAAAGATTAGTGAATTGGAAATCGGAAATCATATAGAAGGAGTTGACTAACCAGAGGGAAAGAGGAATCGCTCGATCGAAGCGGAAATCCAACTCAGATTTGTAGAGGGAAACTTTTTATATTTTTCTTTTTTTTGGACATGAAGAGAAAATATTTGTTCGGTGTGTTTCTTAATAGGGCGTTTTGGTAATTGAGAACTTTGTAAGGGAGATTTTTGTAAATTTGGGAAAAAATTTAAAAAAATAATAATAATAAATAATTGTTTTGTATTATTATTCAATTGAGATAAAACCTACATTCTTTAAATGAAGTTTGGGAAAATATTTTTTTTATTTATTTAATAAAAATTTTAATAAAAACATTTAAATTGATTGATAAAATTTAATATAAAAATCAATAATATATAAAAAAATTTTAAATATTATTTATAAGTCAAATTTGGTGAATATTTATTTAATAATAAAAATTTTATCAATGTTTTTATTAAAAATATTTATCTAAAAATATATATTAAAATTTTTTTTAAATTGTATATACTTATTAGACCTTTCAATCTTTTTTTTATTTTAATTTTTATTTAATCATTTTTAATAAAAAATTTTCCGAATTTTACAAGAGAAACTTTTAACTTTATCTAAGTTTTTCCCATTCAACTAATAACTTGTTACCCTATTAAAAAAATAACAAATAACAGTTAGTTTTATGTAAAAAAAATTAAAATAAAAAATTATTTCTATAAAAATTACAAATAAAAAATATTTTATCTAACTAAACTCTTAAAATATTTTTTATTTAATTAATTTTTTTATATAAATTATGAGCTTGAGATGGCAACTAAAGTTGGAAAGGCATGTGCTAAGGTTGATACGGTGCATATTTAATTCACTTAATTGTATGATTCTTGATAGAGCTATTGGCACTATGACTTTGGCAATGAAATTGGTTCTCGAATCTCGATAACAGATGCATGTTCTTTATTTAGATTTATGATTTAGCATATCAAAAGGCAAAAAATTACGTAAGAAAATCAAGATCTTGTAAAGATTATGAAAAACTTGCGTAAGTTTAAAATTTTATTCCGTTGAGTTTAATTAAATTTATCAATTTTAAATATAATACAAAAATGATATAAAAAAAATACTTTAATTTAAAATGTTAATATAAAATTATATATAAATTTGATAAAAACTAAAAAATATGTTTCATATTTGATATATCAAAATGATATAATAATTTTTGTAATTTATACGTGTTAAGATAAAATAAATACCACACTAATATAGAATTATCAGATTTTGGTTAAAATTATTTAAATTGAATTAACCATCCTGGAATTATTCTGAATTTGATTCTTGTCTTTTATGTTTCCACTTACAATTACACATTTATAAACCCACAAGGAACTTTGAAATGTAAGGCCATGTTGTTGAAGTTGCCATCTAGTAAAAATGTAGCAACGTCTTAAGTGGAAAATTTAGATTACGCCAAGTAGTTGACAATTGAACTTGTGGAGCTAATTTATGGTGTAGTGTGATCTGTCTTCTATGTTGGCTTGCAAAGGTGTTGCAACGATAACACAGTGAAGCTGCATTGGAAACCATGGTTCAAATATGTCGTCCTTCTTGTTTTTCTTCACCACTCTAGTGAAAAGTATAAAATATCTTAAAGAGTTTGGCCTGCCATTGTGATTGACTCTTATTGTGTCATTACATTTTCAGGAATTACAAGTATTGTTAGCATCAGGATTGAGTCATTGTTTTTGCAGTATAGTTAGCATCAGGATTTCGTGCTTGTTGGTTTTCTCCACCTCAGCTGCTTTCTGACTCGAATGGTATCGATGCCAAATATAAATATGTAGCTTGTTTACATTATTTTCCAGCCATTGTGTAGCAGCTTTCTTGATGAATGAAATGCATCAAGAACTCCCTTTCTAGACGTTGCAGCATAGGCATGAATAATTTAGTAGTCTTTATTTAAATCACACAATAAAGATATAAGTGAACAAACTGCAGAATAAACCGTTTAAAAAGAAACAAATCCAAACATAACCAAAAGTTGTAGCAGCACACAAAGTCTTACAGATTTTGAGCAATTACACAGAAATTTTTTTTTTTAATTTCAAGTACAAAACACATAGATTAACATTTTTTTTTCTTCTTGCCATCTAGAACAGTTGGTTCCATTTTTTGACCATCAAGGTATCAGCTCACTCTGTCTACAATATCCCTGCAAAAGATATGGTGTACTATCATGGAGCAAAGAGTATTGGGTTATGGAATGGTAAAGTTTATTTCATGGAGGACATCGTAATTCATAAAGCAAGACCTTAAGTTTACCTGGCTTCTTGTTTCTTTCAATCAGAAGTATTCTCCCTACTTTCTGCCAAACGTTGTTCTATCCTTGCTGCAGATCAATAAAAATAAACATAAAATTTTTAAATTTACGCATCATCTTTGAACGGATGTGATTTTACCACTCTACATCATAATTTGATTAAAAAACGATCTGTTAGATATTCTATATAATATTTCTTTACATTGACCATTTTTTAAACAAATTAAAAATACAATCTTAAAATTGCTTTAAAAAAGAGTGCTAAATTTAATTCATCATAATAAACTTAAGAGAAGAATGAGCCTAATTTCCTCACCAGATAATATAGCTCTCACTGATTCACGAGCCTTTTTGAGCCTATCAGCAGTAGCATCATTACGTTCCTTCATTGTCAACCAACTCTCATAATCGACGAGTTTCACATGCAAGTTGGATGGTGGGTTTAAAGCTTGAAGTACCTCATCTTCCTTTATATGCGGAGAGCAGATCCAAATTTCCATTTGCTTGAGATGTATCTTGTTGTGAAGCTCGGCCCTCTTAGCCTCATCCCAATTTATTGCATTCCCTATCAGCTCAACACAAATATTTCCACCAAGGAGGTCCAAGTTTTCTAGATCTCCAATACTGAATTGATCAGCATCATTACAATCTGCTCTCATTCTGATATTACTTAATCTCGTGAGAGAAGTTAAATTACTAATCCCTTTTGGGTGGTAAGTCAGTTGATGACAACCCTCAGTACGAAGGTACCTCAAATTAATCAATTTCCCGATTCCAGCTGGCAGTTTCTCAAGACTATCGCAGCATAGAAGATTCAAAGAATGTAGATTAGACAATTCGCACACTGCTTCAGGCAAATTTGTTATTCCAGAGCAATATATCAAGCTAAGGTACCTCAAGTTAATCAATTTCCCCATTCCAACTGGCAGTTTCTTGAGGCAAAAGCAGCGTTGAAGATTCAAAGATTGTAGATTAGGCAATTCGCACAATGCTTCAGGCAAATTTGTTATTCCAAAGCAAGATGTCAAACTAAGGTACCTCAAGTGAATCAAATTTCCTATGTCACGAACCATTTCGTATTCTACTAGTTTCAACCGCTCAAACTTCAATAATCTTAGATGCTTGAATCTACTAAACAAGCTCTTTAAGGATTCAGCTGTTACATAAAATCCATGACAAACTGCTACAAGGCTTCGCAATTTTTCTGTGCCATAAATGGACATAGGAGAAGAGCTGCAATTTTCAATCACCAACCTCAAATGACGAGGATTTTTGGAAGATAAGTCCAATGCTAAATCTTCATCTATCTTCTCTATGATGAATTCGCATTTGGTCAAAAACTGGACAAAGTCATGTACCATGTCATGCATCTTACAGCAAATTATGTCGCCATTAGCATCTTCGTCAAAATCTTGGAAAAAAGAATGAGATGCTAAGCACTTGAAGTGATGTTCACCTTCTAATTCTGCCCCTAAATTGTCAACAGAGTTCAAATATCCTTGTGCCATCCAATGCTGGACCAAATCATCTTTACCAATTACATAGTCCTTGGGAAAGATTGCACAATACAAAAAACATCGTCTTATTGCTGAGGGCAAATCAAAATAACTCAACAATAAAGGTGCATAAATATATTGTTCAAAATCTGATTTCCATATCTCACTATTCAAAACATTTTGCCACTCTTCTCTTCGTAATTTATCTTGCAGAAGACCTCCTAAAGTTTTTGCAGCAAGCGGTAAACCTTTGCACTTCTTTGCTATTTCCCTTCCAATGTCCTCTAAATTTTCACAGCCAATCTGGTTCCTTCCAGTAAATGCTTTTTGAGAAAGTATCCACCAACATATCTCCTCAGACAATGGATCTAACTGTAAGACATGGGAGGATTCCAAGTGTTTTCCAACTGATTCCTTACGAGTAGTTATTAAAATCCTACTTCCCAACATGACAGATTGGAAAGCAGCTTTTAGTTGTTCCCAATCTTGACCACGATCTGTCCACACATCATCCAGAACAAGAAACAATTTTTTTTCTTTAATGTTTTCACTGATCTTGCTCAAAAGGGTTTGCAATGGAGTTGTATTTTGAAGTGATACTGTTAAGTCAAGACCTTCAAGAATTGCTCTTGCAATTTGGCTAAGATCAAAGGGATCTGATACACACACCCAAATTTTTTTGTCGAAATGGGTCCGAATTCTGGGGTCATTATAAATCAGTTGGGCAAGAGCTGTTTTCCCTATTCCTCCCATCCCTACAATAGTGATGGTAGGAATGGAAATCCCTTCTTCTTCACTAGTTCCACAAAGCAATCTCCTTATTATGACTTCTTTCTCCCCATCTCGACCGTATAACTTTGACACATCCACAAAAGAAGTGCTTTCTGGCCGTTTTGGTAGCTTAATAATTTCTCTTTTTACCAATTCAAACTTATCTTTGTCTTTAACAATCTGGTCAAGCTCTTCATTGATATCTTTTATTCTGGTAGCAATCTCATGACGCCTAACGACTTTAGAACCAAAGGAAAAGCATGAAACAAAGGGACAAACCTTCCACTTCGGAACAGTAGTACTGGTTCCAACTCCATGATCTGCTTTTTGCAACTGCTGGACAGCAGTTTTCCAGTCGTCCAATACATCTTCCATGTCATAAGAAACTTGTTTGAACCTTTCTAACCAATGTTTCAGACGTTTGTCCACATATTGTTTTTCCTCCGCATCTTCAAGCTCGTACTGCATTGCCTTAAAATTGCTTTCAAGTCTTTTGACTTCTTTCTCAACACCCCTCACCAGCTCCCACGCTTCGCTTGCTTTGTCTGTCGTGATTGCAGTCAGCTGCTGCAAGATCGTGGAAACAATTGCCTCGGCCATATATATTCAGAGAGTGAGGAAACAATAATTGATTCTATAGCTAGGATCGATGGTCATAAGTAGAGAAACCAGAATTGAAGTTAACTGAACTGGGTAATTTGAACACTGGTTTTGAAATTTCAAAAGACTGAAAAGAACCAAAAGTGAGTCCAATAGAGAGAAGAATTTTTAATTCATTGGTTTTCCACCAGCCACATTGGCTTCAGTTTTGGAGGTCGTGCAAGTATTTCTTTTTGTTCTGGTAACGGGTGCTCCCAAATGCAACTTCTTTTTTTTTTCATAAATTTTCTAACCGAAATTATTTAATTAATTTTTTTATAAATTTTTAAATATTCATATTTAATAAATTTTATAATTTATCAAAAATAAAATTTTGTAAAAGAAGAAAATAAAATTTTAAGAAAAATTATAAAAAGGGATTTTATTAAAATTTTTATTAATTAGTGTAATTAAAAAATTATTATTAAAAAATCTAAATTTTAAAATTAATACAAAGAAAATTAATTTTATTATATTGATTTTAAAAAAAAATTTTATGAGACTTTAAACAAATAATAATAAAAAAATTATTAGATCTTATCAAAATATGAGAATTGAAATCTTTTGAAATTGTACAAATAATACTATTTAATGTTATATAATTTTATCAAAATATAATATTTTCGCCGAAGAAACTTATCATGATAAGTAGATGAGAAATTTTTCTACGAAGTTTACTTCAGTTAAAACTATTTTAAAATTTTAATAATCAATACAAATGAAATATTTTTAAAAAAATGATAAATTTTAAATTTAAAAAATTACATTTATTATTTTATTTTTAATTTCTTATATTTCAAAAGATTTTATTCTTTCTCCAAAATAAAATTAATAAAATTAATTTTTTTATTAATTGTAAAATTTATAAATTTTTCTTATAATAACTTTTTTATTCCACTCAATAATAAAAATTTTTAATAATTTTACCACTCTACACCTTAATTTTATTAAAAATGATCAAAAGTTAGATATTCTATAAAATAATTTCTTTACATTCAATTTTGACCCTTTTTTAACCAAATTAAAAATACAATGACAAAGTTGCTTTTAAAAAGAGTGCTAAATTTAGTTCATCTCTAGAATGATCAATTTAAGAGAAGAATAAGCCTAATTTCCTCACCTCTTGCCTTTCACAAAGATTTACAATATGATGTTTTCTTTGACACCAGCTTTTATAATCACACAGTTTTACAGGCGAGTTGGACGGTGGGTTTAAAGCTTGAACTAACTCCTCTTCCTTTATATGCAGAGAGTTGATCCAAATCTCCATTTGCTTGAGATATATTTTCTTGTGAAGCTTGGCCCTCTTAGCCTCATCCCAATCTATTGCATCCCCTGTCAGGTCAACACAAAACTTTCCACCAAGGAGGTCCAAGTTTTACAATATGATGCCTTTGACGCCAGCTTTTATAATCACACAGTTTTACAGGCGAGTTGGATGGTGGGTTTAAAGCTTGAACTACCTCCTCTTCCTTTATATGCAGAGTGCCGATCCAAATCTCCATTTGCTTGAGATATATCTTCTTGTGAAGCTTGGCCTTCTTAGCCTCATCCCAATCTATTGCATCCCCTGTCAGGTCAACACAAAGCTTTCCACCAAGGAGTCCAAGTTTTCTAGATCTCCAATACTGAATTGATCAGCATCATTACAATCTGCTCTCATTCTGATACCACTTAATCTACCAAGAGAAGTTAAATTACTAATCCCTTTTGGATAGCAAGTCAGACGATAACAACCCTCAGTACAAAGATACTTTAAGTTAATCAATTTTCCGATTGCAACTGGCAGTTTCACAAGACTATTGCATCTTCGAAGATTCAAGGATTTTATTTTAGGCAATTCACACACTGCTTCAGTCAAAGTTTCTATTCCATCGCAATGTATCAAGCTAAGGCACCTCAAATGAACCAAATTTGTTATGTCACGAGCGATTCCTCTAAACAAAACGAGCCAAACTCCAATAGTCTTAGATGCTTGGATCTACTAAACAAGTTATGTGAGGCTTCAGAAGCTATTTTATCAAATCCATGACAAACTGCTACAAGGCTTCGCAATTTTTCTGTGCCATAAATGGACATAGGAGAAGAGCTGCAATTTTCAACCACCAACCTCATATGACGTGGTTTTTTGGAAGATAAGTCTAATGTTAAATCTTCAACTATCTTCTCTGTAACAAATCTGCACTTGGTCAAAAACTGGACAAAGTCATGTTACCATGTCATGCATCTTACAGCAAATTATGTCGCCATTAGCATCTTTGTTAAAATCTTGGAAAAAAGAACGAGTTGCTAAGCACTTGAAGTATTCTTCGCCTTTGAGTTCTTCTCTTAAATTGTCAACAGAGTTCAAATATCTTGCGCCATCGATTGCTGGACCAATTCATCTTTACCAATTACATAATCCTTCAGAAAGATTGCACGGTACAAGAAACATCGTCTTATTGCAAAGGAAAAATCATTATAACTCAACAATAAAGGTGTATAAAATCTTGTGCAAAATCTGATTTCCATATCTCACTACTCAAAACATTTTCCCACTCTTCTCTTTTTAATTTATCTTGCGGGAGACCTCCTAAATTTTTGCAGCGAGCGGTAAACCTTTGCACTTCTTTGCAATTTTCCTTCCAATGTATTCTAAATTTTCACGGTCCATCTGGCTCATTCCAATAAATGCCTTTTGAGAAAGTATCAACCAACATATCTCCTCAGACAATAGATTTAAATGAACGACATGGGAGGATTCCAAGTGCTTTGCAACAGAATCCTTACGAGTAGTTACTAAAATCCTACTTCCCAACATGACAGATTGGAAAGTAGCTTTTAGTTGTTCCCAATCTTGACCATGATCTTTCCACACATCATCCAGAACAAGACAGAATTTCTTGTCTTTAATGTTTTCACTGATCTTACTCAAAAGGGTTTGCAATGGAGTTGTATTTTGAAGTGATATTGTTGAGTCAAGACCTTCAAGGATTGCTCTTGCAATTTGGCTAAGATCAAAGGGATGTGGGCAAGAGCTGTTTTCCCTATTCCTCCCATCCCTAAAATAGTGATGGTAGGAATGGAAATCCCTTCTTCTTCTTCACCAGTTCCACACAGCAATCTCCTTATTATGTCTTCTTTCTCCCCATCTCGACCGTATAACTTTGACACATCAACAAAAGAAGTGCTTTCTGGCAGTTTGAGTGGCTTAGTTTCTTTTTTTATCAATTCAAACCCATCTTTGTCTTTAACAATCTGGTCAAGCTTCGTTGATATCTTTTATTCTGTTAGCAATATCATGACGCCTAACGACTTTAGAACCAAAGGAAAACAATGAATCAAAGGGACGTACCTTCCTCTTCCGAACAGAAGTAGTACCGGTTTCAACTCCATGATCTGCTGTTTGCAACTGCTGGACAGCAGTTTTCCGGTCGTCCAATAAATCTTCCATGACATAAGAAACTTGTTTGAACCTTTCTAACCAAGGTTTCAGACTTTGTCCACATACTGTTTTTCCTCCGCATCTTCAAGCTCGTACTGGATTTTCTTGAAATTGCTCTCAAGCCTTTCGACCTCTTTCTCAACACCTCTCACCAGCCTCCACGGTTCGCTTGCTTTGTCAATCGTGGTTGCAGACAGCTGCCCCAAGATCGTGGAAACAATTGCCTCGGCCATATCTTCAAAAAGCGAGGAAGCAATAATTGATTCTATAGCTAGGATCGATCGTCGTAAGTAGAGAAACCAGAATTGAAATTAACTGAACTGGGTAATTTGAACGCTGGTTTTGAGATTTCAAAAGGCTCAAAAGGACCAAAAGTGAGTCCAATAGGGAGTGGAGAGAGCAAATTTTTTAATTCATTGTTTTTCCACCAACCACAATGGCTTCAGTTTTGCGAGGTCGTGGAAGCATTTCTTTTTGCTTTAGTAACAGGTGCTTCCAAATGCAACTTTTTTTTTCTCTTTACACATTTTTTTTCATAAATTTTTTTAGCGAAATTATTTAATTATTTATTTTATAAATTTTTAAATATTCATATTTAATAAAATTTAAAATTTATCAAAAATAAAATTATGTAAAGAAGAAAAAAATTTTAAGAAAAATAATAAAAAGGGATTTTATTAAAAATTTTATTAATTAAAATAATTTAAAATTTTATTATTAGAAAATCATAAATTTTAAAATTAATAAAAATAAAGTTAATTTTATTATTTTGATTTAAAAAACTTATGAGACCCTAAACAAATAATAAAAAAAAAATTATTAAGTATGATCAAAATATGAAAATTTAAATCCTTTTAAATTATACAAATAATGTTATTAAATATTATATAATTTTTTTAAAAATTTAATATGTTAATCGAAAAAATTCATCATGATAAATAGAAGAGAGATTTTTCCATGAAGTTCATTTTAGTTAAAACTATTTTAAAATTTTAATAATCAATACAAAAAGATAAATTTTTTAAAAAATGATAAATTTAAATTTTAAAAAATTGCATTCACTACTTTATCTTTAATTTATTAAATTTCAAAAGATTTTATTCTTTCTCCAATATCAAAATAATAAAATTAATCTTTTTTATTAATTTAAAAATATATAAAATTTTCTTATTATAATTTTTTATTACACTAAATAATAAAAATTTTTAATATTTTTTTAATAATTTTCTTAAAATTTTACTCTCCTCCTTTGTGAAAATAGATTTTCAAAAAATTTATTTTTGATAATATATATAACTTTTCTAAAATAATTTTTTTCAAATCATAAAACTGACCGATTATTTATATTCAAAAACTTGTAAGAAAAATAATTAAAGAATTTTATTAATAAAAATTTTTGAAAAAAATAAGAGTGTGAAGAGAAAAAATATAGTGCATTTAGAATTTACTTTTAGTAACAGAGGAATTTTTTTTTATCAATTTGTTTGCCCATGTTAGTCGTTAGAAGCCTAATTATATTGATATTTGAGCAGTCTTCTTATTGGTTTATCAACATCTTTTTGTCTGCTTGGCAAGCTCCCCGGCAATAATGCCGTTGATTGGACCACATTTAAGGATGACAGTTCAATATTAGCTTGACAGATTTTGATTTGATTTAATTTTTTAAAATCAATTTTTTTTAATTGAGTTTTGATAGGTAATTATATAATAATGTCAAGTTGAATTTTAGATAAATTTATCTCAATCTAATTTCATATATATATATATATAATTTTATATTTATATATAAAATATTATTTTATATTTTAAAATTAATATTTTATTAATTTAAATCAAATCAAATTAAATACAATTTTATATAACATAAGATTGAATCAAATTCAAACATTAAAAAAAAAATTATTAGATCCGACCAAGTTTGAATATTATAAATTTAAAATTGGATCAAATTTAAAGTAAAAATTTATCTTGACCTGATCTCTTAGTAGTTTTTTATAACATTCATTATGTTTTCTTGGCAAAGCATAGGAACCTGATTAAATTTATTTAGATGGAATATTTATCTTTTAGACATATAAAAAAATATATAAAATATTTTTTAATTTTACAATATTTATAAAATAATATATTTAAAATTTATTTGATTGTCCAAAATTTTTAACTTTAAGTGAAATATCAATTAAATTATTTTTAAGTTGTTAACAATAAAATTTAATTTAAATATATTATTTTTTAAAAAATACATTTTCAAATAAACTAAATATATATTTTTTCAATTTAAAAATTTCAAATATAGGATTATATTATCTTTTAAAATAGGTTTCTTAATAATATAAATATATATCTTTTAAAACTTAAAAAATCTTAAATGTAGTGATATTATAAAGTGGATTTCTTAATAATTTAAATATATGCCATTTTAATTTTAAAATTTTAAAACATAATTTTTATTTTTAGAGATTTCATAATAATCATTTATTGTTTGATTGTTTGTACTAGATAATACTATTTTATATATAAATCTTTCGGATATTTAATTTTTTCTCAAAATTTATTTTATGTTTTGAAATTTTTTAAGTTTTAATTAAAAATTTAATTTTATTAAGCTTTAATATCTTAATTATATTATTTATAGTTTATTTATATTGAATATATAATAATTAAATAATATTAATTTATATATCTAAACATATTTAAATAAATAAAAATAATTTATATATTGCACAAATAATAAGATAATTAGATAAATAATTTGATTGATATTAACTGGTCTAATCTAACTAGGTCATTGCCAACTTTTGATGTGGAAAAGAAAATCAAATAAGTTTGTAAATATCCTGTTGTAAAATAAACATCACATGTTAGACTATCAATAATTTTGTTGTAAAAGTTAGTAGAAATAAGAGACAATTGTTTTATCTTATTGGCTGTCATGTCAACAAAAGTTTGGTGAATTTCAATAACCAAGCCAACAAACAATGTACATGGATAAATTATAAATAGAATACGTCCCTCATAATTTATTTTTGTGAAAGAATTATAATTTTAAATATAAAATTTATAAATGTTAAAATTTAATTTTTAAATTTATTAAAAATTATATTTTAAAATAATTATATAAATTAATTAAATTAAGTTTGTAATTTTTTTGACCATTATATCTCCATTATAGATTTCAATTTAAATTTCAAAATAATTGATAAATTAAGGAACTTTATGATCCTAGACTACTTTGATATTTCAATTGGAAAAATTGGCTGCATTTGATTGACTGTAATTAGTGTCGGTAGATTCTTGAAGATATCATGCAAGCTTGCTTTTATCAACATCTTTTGTCCGCTTTCCAATCTTCTTCCTGGCAATAATGCCATTGATAGGACCATTCTGGTGAGTGGTGACTGAATTGGCAAGTACCTGGTGAGCGTTCACATTACTCTATAGTAGTTGCTGTAACGTCCGTTCTGTGCGACCGAAAGAGAAAGCGTTTCCCAAGTAAGGAAAAAGAAAAAAAAAGTGAAGGAAAGAAAAATAAGATTTTTTAAAAGAAAAGAAAGGATTAGATGTATTTTTATATGAATAATTAAAATTAATAAAAGAAATAAAATGAATTTTAATAATTATTGTTTTAATTAAAAAGTGAAAGGAAATAAAATATTTTATTATAATATTTTAAACTAATTATATCCTTTGAATTTATTAGTTCAATTATATCCTTTGCATGTGATTAACTTAGATATTGGGATTTAAGATGGTCTAAGGTTTTAGTAAGATGATTAATAACAATGATGACACTCGATTATTGTGTAAAGTATATTGAACATTCACATTCTCAATTTTTTTATGGTTTACTTTACGTGATTACATGCTTTCTTACATGTCTATACATCTCTTACAGTAACAAATGATACTGGTACGATGGTAGCTATATGTTCATTGTGGTTTTACTTTTTTGAGTAGTGTGCATGTCGTCTTTCTTACATGTCTTCACCGTATCTTCACATTGAATTAATTATGGTATAAAGGAGGAACCTGTCAACAAAAAACAAAAAAGGTAATTGTTTAAGGAGAAAATTGTTTGTACATGTTAATTGTTTTTTACATGATAGCTAATGATCCGAAGATAACATAATTGAAAGAATTAAAAAAAGTTTTTATATAGGATTGTCATGGGATTACTTCGTTGAAATAATTGAAGGTTTTATGGATATTTTAATATCTAAATTTATTTTTGTTTTTCTTTTCCCTTTTTTTTTCTTTTAATTTGGAAAAATTAAAAAAAAAAAGAGCTTTTGGAAGAAATCAAGAAATGTTAATTCCTCCATTTCTCTTATTTTATTTTATTGATTATCTAAAAAAGTTCTCTCTTTCTTCTCCTTTATTTTCTCCTACTCCTCTTAATTCAAATATGAGCTTAAAGATGATAAAGGATTTGACTTGGTTTGAACAGAGATATTAATCTTACTCAAATTCAAATAAAAATAAATATAAGTATTATACTATGAGGATAAAAATGAGTGTGATTTTAAATTTTTATTTAATACAGTGATAGAGATGAATAATATATATAGCATCCAACCCATACCTTACATACATATTTATATATATTTAATAAATAAATTTTTTTACTAAATAATATAAATTAATACTTTAAATTAATTATAATTAATATATTTTTATATAAAATATATTTTAATATATATTTATAAAAAATTACGTAAATATATAATATAAAAATAAAAAGCTAAAAAAATAAATTTTGGTTTTTTTTTCAAAAAAAAATATACGAAAATTATCTATACTCAATAAATACATACGAGAATGAAAATGTTGATAAATTTGAAATATATATTAGATATAAGTACGAAGATGTATATAATATAAAAATTTCAAGATAATAATGGATAATACTCTACTTGCTCTATACTTTACCCATTGACATATTTAATTTATATTTCATAATTTTTTAAAGATTTTTATCATTAAATAAAAAAATTATAAATTTTCAATTTTCAATTTAATCAAAATTATATTTCATCTTAATATAAATTAGAGTGAATGCGATAACATGAGCAAATACATGCCACTGCAAATTAACAAAGAAATTTATTGTCTATAGGTTAAATTTTAAAAGTTACGAAAATAATATAATTTAAAATTTAAAAAGACTTATATATAAATTTGTCATAAACAAAAATATATATTTCTTATTTGACATGTTGACATGATATAGTAATTTTTGTATTTTATATATATTAAGACAAAATAAATATGACATAAATATTCAAATTATCATATTTAAATTAAAATTATTTAAATTGAATTAACTATCCTAAAATTCCTTTGAATTTGGTTCTTGCCTTTTATGTTTCAACTTAGAATTACACATTTATAAACCCATAAGGAACTTTGTAAGAGTACCATGGTCTTAGAGAAGAATCATAAATTTTATATTGGCTGGGTATTAAAATTGATCTTGAAATGTAATAATTCACATCTTTTCAATTTGTGAGACACTTTTTGTGGGATAAAATTATGAGACTAGCAGGTCAAAGCGAATAATACCTTATAAGTTAGTGTAGATTATGACATTTGATATCAAAGCTGGCTTTGGGGTACTAGCGATATGCCACTGAGGACGGTGGGTTTTTGTTAGAGTGAGAGAGGATGTTACGATCCTAGAGAGAAGCCATCAATCTCACATCGGCTGTGTACTAGAATTGATTTTGAGATACAAAGGTTCATATCTTTTCAACTTATGAGATACATTTTGTATGATAAAATCGTAAAGTTAACGGATCAAAGCGAACAATAGCTCACAAGTTAGTGTGGATCGTGACAAAAGGCACGTTGAGATGAATGAATTAAGGGCTTTGTTGAAGTTGCAATCTCGTAACCATGTAGAAACGTCTTACGGAGAAAATTTAGAATAGACCAAAAAGTTGACAATTGAACTTGTGGAGCTAATTTATGGTTGTGTGATCTGTCTTCTATATATGTTGGCTTGCAAAGGCCTTGCGATGACGATTCAGTGGAGCTACATTGAAAACCATGGCTCAAATATGTCGTGCTTCTTGTTTTTCTTCACCACTCGAGTGAAAAGTATACAATATCTTAGAGAGTTTGGCCTACCATTGTGATAGGCTCTTATTGTGTCATTGCATTTTCAGGAATTACAAGTATTGTTAGCATCAGGATTGACTCATTGTTTTTGCAGCATTGCTGGCATCAGGATTTCGTGCTTGTTGGTTTTCTTCACCTCTGCGGCTCTCTGACTCGAATGGTATTGATGCCAAATATAAATATGTAACTTATTCAAGTTAACTAACTTGGTTTAGGGACTGAGTCTCTTCTCTGTTATTATTTTGCAGCCATTGTGTAGCAGCATTCTTGATGAAGGGAATGCATCTGGAACTACCTTTCTAGATGTTGCAGCATAGGCATGAATAATTTAGTAGAGTCTTCATTTAAATCACACAATAAAAATATAAGCAAACACACTACAGAATAAACCGTTTAAAACGAAATAAATCCAAACATAAACCAAAAGTAGCAGCAGACACACAAAGTCTTACAGATTTTGAACAATTACATACAGAATTTTTTTTTTATTTCAAGTGCAACATACATAGAATTTAACATTTTTTTTCTTCTTCTTGCCATCTAGAACAGTTGGTTCCATTTTTTGACCATCAAGGTATCAGCTCTCTCTGTCGACAATATCCCTACAAAAGATATGGTGTACTATCATGAAGCAAAGAGTATTGGGTTATGGAATAGTAAAGTTTATTTCATGGAGGACATCATAATTCATAAAGCAAGACCTTAAGTTTACCTGGCTTCTTATTTCTTTCAATCAGAAGTTTTGTCGCTTGTTCCTGCAAAAATTGCCCCATCCCAGCAGGTCAATAAAAATGAAACATAAAACTTTCAAATTTACGAATTATGTTTGAACAGGTGTATTTTTATCACTCTACATCTTAATTGGATTAAAAAAGATCACAAGTTAGATATTCTATATAATAATTCTTTACATCCAATTTTGACCTTTTTTAACCAAAATAAAAATACAATGGTAAAATTGGTTTAAAATAGAGTGCTAAATTTAATTCATCGCCTTTAAATATAATTATAAATTTAAGATAAGAATGAGCCGAATTTCCTCACCAGAGGCTGCAGTTTCCATAAACTGTAAAGCTGCTTTATGCACTAAAAGAGCAATTTTAAGTTTCTCCTGGCGTTTCTTCTGTATCAACCACTTTTCATAATCAAGCAGTACCACAGGCAAGTTGGATGGCGGGTTTAAAGCTTGAACTACCTCCTCTTTCTTTATATGCGGAGAGCAGATCCAAATCTCCATTCGCTTGAGATGTGTCTTCTTGTGAAGCTTGGCCCTCTTAGCCTCTTCCCGATCTATTGAATTCCCTTGCAGCTCAACACAAAGGTTTCCACCAAGGAGGTCCAAATTTTCTAAATCTCCAATACTGAATCGATCAGCATCATTACAATCTGCTCTCAGTTTGATATTACTTAATCTCATGAGAGAAGTTAAATTACTAATCCCTTTTGGATAGTAAGTCAGTTCAAAACAACCCTCAGTACAAAGATACCTCAAGTTAATCAATTTCTCGATTCCAACTGGCAGTTTCTTGAGATCAAAGCAATTTTCAATATTCAAAGATTGTAGATTAGGCAATTCACACACAGGTTCAGGCAAAATTTCTATTCCATAGCAAAGTTTCAAGCAAAGGTACCTCAAATGAATCCAATTTCCCATGTCACGAGCAATTCCTTTTGCATCTAGACAAAATGAGCATAACTCCAATAGTCTTAGATGCTTGGATTTACTAAGCAAGTTATGTGAGGCTTCAGAAGCTATTTTATCAAATCCATGACAAACGGCTACAAGGCTTCGCAATTTTTCTATGCCATAAATGGACATAGGAGAAGAGCTGCAATTTTCAATCACCAACCTCAAATGACGAGGTTTTTTGGAAGATAAATCTAATGTTAAATCTTCAACTATCTTCTCTGTGACAAATCCACATTTGGTCAAAAACTGGACAAAGTCATGTACAATGTCATGCATCTTACAGCAAATTATGTCGCCATTAGCATCTTTGGCAAAATCTTGGAACAAAGAACGAGATGCTAAGCACTTGAAGTAATCTTTGCCTGTTAATTCTGCCCCTAAATTGTCATCAGAGTTCAAATATCCTTGCGCCATCCAGTGTTGGACCAATTCATCGTTACTAATTACATAATCCTTGGGAAAGATTGCACAATATAAAAAACATCGTCTTATTGCTGAGGGTAAATCAAAATAACTCAACAATAAAGGTGCATAAATATATTGTCGTGCAAAATCTAATTTCCATATCTCACTATTCAAAACATTTTCCCATTCTTCACTTCTTAATTTATCTTGCAGGAGACCTCCTAAAGTTATTGCAGCAAGCGGTAAACCTTTACACTTCTTTGCAATTTCCCTTCCAATGTCCTCTAAATTTTCACGGCCAATCTGGTTCCTTCCGGTAAATGCTTTTTGAGAAAGTATCAACCAACATATCTCCTCAGACAATAGATCCAAATGAAAGACATGGGAGGATTCCAAGTGCTTTGCAACTGAATCCTTACGAGAAGTTACTAAAATCCTACTTCCCAACATGACAGACTGGAAAGTAGCCTTTAGTTGTTCCCAATCTTGACCATGATCTTTCCACACATCATCCAGAACAAGAAAGAATTTCTTGTCTTTAATGTTTTCATTGATCTTGCTCAAAAGGGTTTGCAAAGGAGTTGTATTTTGAAGTGATATTGTTGAGTCAAGACCTTCAAGAATTGCTCTTGCAATTTGGCTAAGATCAAAGGGATCTGATACACACACCCAAATTTTTTTGTCAAAATGGGTCTGAATTCTGGGGTCACTATAAATCAGTTGGCCAAGAGCTGTTTTCCCTATTCCTCCCATCCCTACAATAGTGATGGTAGGAATGGAAATCCCTTCTTCTTCTTCACTAGTTCCACACAGCAATCTCCTTATTATGTCTTCTTTCTCCCCATCTCTACCGCATAACTTGGACACATCCACAAAAGAAGTGCTTTCTGGCAGTTTTGGTAGCTTAATAATTTCTCTTTTTACCAATTCAAACTTATCTTTGTCTTTAACAATCTGTTCAAGCTCTTCATTGATATCTTTTATTCTGGTAGCAATCTCATGACGCCTAACGACTTTAGAACCAAAGGAAAAGCATGAAGCAAAGGGACAAACCTTCCTCTTCCGAACAGAAGTAGTACTGGTTTCAACTCCACGATCTGCTGTTTGCAACTGCTGGACAGCAGTTTTCCAGTCGTCCAATACATCTTCCATGTCATAAGAAACTTGTTTGAACCTTTCTAACCAATGTTTCAGACGTTTGTCCACATATTGTTTTTCCTCCGCATCTTCAAGATCGTACTGGATTGCCTCGAAATTGCTCTCAAGCCTTTTGACCTCTTCTCAACACCTCTCACCAGCCTCCACGCTTCGCTTGCTTTGTCAATGGTGATTGCATTTAGCTGCTCCAAGATCGTGGAAACAACTGCCTCGGCCATGTCTTCAAAGAGTGAGGAAACAATAATTGATTCTATAGCTAGGATCGATGGTCGTAAAAAAATTTCATAATAATTATTTATTGTTTGATTGTTTTTAAATTTAAAAAGACTAAACATTAAATGCATTAGAAGATTATAATTTATTTTTTAATGATACTTTCAATCTTAATTTTATTTTTCTGTTTTTTAAACCTTTATGCTTGCAAAAAAAATAATTTTTTAACTTGTAAGATGCACTAAATTTTTTATTATATTTCTATAATTTTTTGATATATGAGAGGTATAATTTTTTATTACATTTTGTGTAATCTATGCATTCGCTTGTTAAAAAGTTAAAATCAATATTTTTTAATTTTGAAATTTTTATAAAAATTTTGAATATTTTGTTTATTTAAAAGTGTATACTTGGATTTTATAAAATTTTTTTGACAATTTATGGATGTTAGAGCAACGGAAGAAAATCGATTTAGCACAATAATAACTATTTCAAAGTATTTTGACACTTAAGTAAAAAATATTAATTTAATTATTTAGGCATTGTTTTTTTGTCTTATTTATTTATTTAGAAAATATTGTAAAGCCTTATTTTTACTTGTTGATTTTGTTGTGCCTTTCTTTTATTTTTTTAATTATAAATAAAAGTAAATGATTAAAATACAGTATTAATTCTAACATAATTGTTTTATATAAAAGTATAATTTTATTTATTTATTTAAAATTAATATTTTATAATTTAATTCTTTTATAATATTACTGGTTTTTTCTTGAGAGCAAAATGTATGTAGTAAAAGTAAAAAATTTTTTCTTTTTACGTTAAAATTTGATTTTAAAATCTTGTGAATGAGAATTGACATATTCTCATTGAAATCTTTTACAACAAAATTTTTAGCAAAAGATGTAATTTTATTATTTAAAATTTAAAATTATTTCATTTCAACTTTTAAAGTAATATAATTTTGTATCAAATGTAAAGTTTAAAATAAGTATAAAAATTAATTTAACAAATCTTATAGATGTGCTAAAACTCTTGCAAAAAATGTATTGTGAATAAGTAATCATGTATATTATTTAAACATTTAAAATCATTATTTAAAAAAAAATAAAATTTATCTTAAAATTAAATAAACTTAGAAATGTATAAATATGATTGTACTAGATGAAAATAGCATAAATTGGAAAAAGTTAATTTGAAGTGATAAAATTTTTAATTTTAATTTAATATTTTGTTGGTGTACTAGATAATATTATTTATATATAAATCTTTTGGATATATATATTTTACTCAAATATTATTTTATATTTTGAATTTTTTAATTTTTAGTTAAAATTTTAATTTTATTATGTTTTAATATCTTAATTATATTATTTGCAGCTTATATATATTGAATATATAGTAATATGGATAGACTATAAATAGAATGCGTCCCTTATAATTTATTTTTGTTAAAGAAGTTACAATTTTAAATATAAATTTTATAAATATTAAAATATATTTTTTACATTTATTAAAAATTATATTCTAAAATAATTATATAAATTAATTAAATTAAATTCGTAAATTGTTTTACCATTATATCTCCATTAGGGATTTCAATTTAAATTTCAAAATAGTTGACAAAGCAAAACTTCTCTTTCTAAAGTACGAAAAGACTACCTTAATTTATTGAAAAACGAAAAGAAAATGGGGATAGAAACATGCGTGATGTGTAATTATTACGGACAGTACAATTATTTAAATATGTAAAATAATAAACTAATGTCATTCATTATAAATTTATAGATAGGGATCATAGAAGTGACTGAATTTTAAAATTTCGTTCAATTCATTATAATTTAAATTTTACTCAAAGTTATTTGATAAAATAAATAATAATTTAGACTTTCATACCTAATTCAAATTTAAAATATAACTCAAAATCAAATCAATATAAAATTTAAAATAAGAACCACCGGTTTGGATTTTTTAGATTTTGTTTGCAAAAATAATTAAAAAAAATAGAGATAAATCTTGTGGGAAACATAAGCTTGCATAGAAGAATAAAAATAAAAATAGAAATTCTGAATTTGATATTTTTGAGAGAGCAAACAACTATTATTTATTTTTATTGAGATATACATGCACGTGATTTTTACTTATAATAAATTTACTTATTACACTAATTGTGATTGATGATTAGTGAGTGAAGTTTAAAAAGTAAATATATATATTATATTATAATATATTAACATTCGGTAAAATTTTTCATATGAATATTTATGTGACTAATTTTTTTATATGACATGTAGTATAATTTTTTTCAAGAATAGATCTTTTTTTAATTATAAATTAAATAATTTTAAATTTATTTAAATATTAAAATTATTAAAATTATAATTATAAATTAAATTAATCTAGAGATCTTTTTTTAATTAACAAAATATGTTGGAAAACAATTTCCACTCAATGTAAGTGAAATTTCCTTTGATAAATTAAGGAACTTTATGATCCTTAGACTACTTTGATTTTTTAATTGTAAACATTGGCTCCGTTTGATTGACTTTAATTAGCGTCGGTAGATTCCTGAAGATATCATGCAAGCTTGCTTTTTTCTGCTTTCCAATCTCCTTCCTGGCAATAATGCCATTGATTGGACCATTCTGGTGAGCGTTCACATTACTCTATAGTAGTTTTTGTAACGTCCATTCTGTGCGACGAAAGAGAAAGCGTTTCGCAAGTAAGGAAAAAGGAAAGAAAGTGAAGGAAAGAAAAATAAGATTTTTTAAAAGAAAAGAAAGGATTAGATGTATTTTTATATGAATAATTAAAATTAATAAAAGAAATAAAATGAATTTTAATAATATTGTTTAATTAAAAAGTGAAAGGAAAGAAAATAATTTATTATAATATTTTTAACTAATTATATCCTTTGAATTTATTAGTTCAATTTGTTTTTGTGTACTTATGCAAATGTGATTAACTTAGATATTGGGATTTAAGATGGTCTAAGGTTTTAGTAAGATGATTAATAACAATGATGGCACTCGATTATTGTGTCAAGTACATTGAACACTCACATTCTCAATTTTTTTATGGTTTACTTCACGTGATTAGATGCTTTCTTACACGTCTATACATCTCTTACAGTAACAAATGATACTGGTACAATGGTAGTTATATGTTCGTTGTGGTTTTAATTTTTTGAGTTGTGTGCATGTCGTCTTTCTTACATGTCTTCACCATATCTTCACACCGAATTAATTATGTTATAAAGGAGGAACCTGTCAACAAAAGAAAAGTAATTGTTTGAGGAGAAAATTGTTTGTAGATGTTAATTGTTTTTTACATGATAGCTAATGATCCGAAGATAACATAATTGAAAGAATTAAAGAAAGTTTTTATATAGGATTGTCATGGGATTACTTCGTTGAAATAATTGAAGGTTTTATGGATATTTTAATATCTAAATTTATTTTTGTTTTTCTTTTCCCTTTTTTTTTTCTTTTAATTTGGAAAAATTAAAAAAAATGAGCTTTTGGAAGCAATCAAGAAATGTTAATTCCTCCATTTTTCTTATTTTATTTTATTGATTATCTAAAAAATTTTCTCTCTTTCTTCTCCTTTATTTTCTCCCACTCCTCTTAATTCAAATATGAGCTTAAAGATGATAAAGGATTTGACTTGGTTTGAACTAGAGAATCTTACTCAAATTCAAATAAAAATAAATATAAGTATTATATTGTGAGGATCGGATAAAAATGAGTGTGATTTTAAATTTTTATTTAGTACGGTGATAGAAATAAATAATATATATAGCATCCAACCCATACCTTACATACATATTTATATATATTTAATAAATAATTTTTTTTACTAAATAATATAAATTAATACTTTAAATTAATTATAATTAATATATTTTTATATAAAAATATATTTTAATATATATTTATAAAAAATTACATAAATATATAATATAAAAATAAAAAAGCTAAAAAAATAAATTTTGGTTTTTTTTTTAAAATATAGATATGAAAATTACCCATACTCAATAAATATTTATGAGAATGAGAATGTGGATAGATTAAAAATATCTATTAGATATAAGTACGAATATATATATAATATAAAATTTTCAAGATAAGAATGGATAATACTCTATTTGCTCTATACTTTACCCATTGACATATTTAATTTATACTTTATAATTTTTTAAAGATTTTTATCATTAAATAAAAAAATTATAAAATATAAAATATAAAATATAAATTATAAATTTAATCCAAATTATATTTAATCAAAATTATATTTTATCTTAATATAAATTGGAGTGAATGCGATAACATGAGCAAATACATGCCACTGCAAATTAACAAAGAAGTTTATTGTTTACAGGTTAAATTTTAAAAGTTACGAAAATAATATAATTTAAAATTTAAAAAGACTTCTATATAAATTTGTCAGAAACAAAAATATATATTTCTTATTTGACATGTTGACATGATATAGTAATTTTTGTATTTTATATATATTAAGACAAAATAAATATGACATAAATATTCAAATTATCATATTTAAATTAAAATTATTTAAATTGAATTAACTATCCTAGAATTCCTTTGAATTTGGTTCTTGCCTTTTATGTTTCAACTTAGAATTACACATTTATAAACCCATAAGGAACTTTGTAAGAGTGCCATGTTCTTAGAGAAGAGCTATAAATTTTATATTGGTTGTGTATTAAAATTGATCTTGAAATGTAATGATTCAAATTTTTTCAATTTGTGAGACACTTTTTGTGGGATAAAACTATGAGACTAACGGGTTAAAGCGGATAATACCTCATAAGTTAGTGTAGATTATGACATTTGATATCAGAGCTGGCTCTGTGATACTAACGATATGCCACTGAGGACGGTGGGCTTTTGTTGGAGTGGGAGAGAATGTCATGATCCTAGAGAGGAGTTATCAATCTCACATCGGCTGTGTATTAGAATTAGAATTGATTTTGGGATACAAAGGTTCACATCCTTTCAACTTATGAGGTACATTTTATAGGATAAAATCGTAAGGTTAACGGATTAAAGCGAACAATAACTCACAAGTTAATGTGGATCGTGACAAAGGGTACGTTGAGATGAATGGATTAAGGGCTTTGTTGAAGTTGCCATCTCGTAACCACGTAGAAACGTCTTATGGAGAAAATTTAGAATAGACCAAAAAGTTGACAATTGAACTTGTGGAGCTAATTTATGGTTGTGTGATCTGTCTTCCATATATGTTGGCTTGCAAAGGCGTTGCGATGACGATACAGTGGAGCTACATTGAAAACCATGGCTCAAATATGTCGTGCTTCTTGTTTTTCTTCACCACTCGAGTGAAAAGTATACAATATCTTAGAGAGTTTGGCCTACCATTGTGATAGGCTCTTATTGTGTCATTGCATTTTCAGGAATTACAAGTATTGTTAGCATCAGGATTGACTCATTGTTTTTGCAGCATTGCTGGCATCAGGATTTCGTGCTTGTTGGTTTTCTTCACCTCTGCTGCTTTCTGACTCGAATGGTATTGATGCCAAATATAAATATGTAACTAATTCAAGTTAACTAACTTGGTTTAGGGACTGAGTCTCTTCTCTGTTATTATTTTGCAGCCATTGTGTAGCAGCATTCTTGATGAAGGGAATGCATCTGGAACTACCTTTCTAGATGTTGCAGCATAGGCATGAATAATTTAGTAGAGTCTTCATTTAAATCACACAATAAAAATAGAAGCGAACACACTACAGAATAAACCGTTTAAAATGAAATAAATCTAAACATAAACCAAAAGTAGCAGCAGACACACAAAGTCTTACAGATTTTGAACAATTACATACTGAATTTTTTTTTATTTTAAGTGCAACATACATAGAATTTAACATTTTTTTTTTCTTCTTGCCATCTAGAACAGTTGGTTCCATTTTTTGACCATCAAGGTATCAGCTCTCTCTGTCGGCAATATCCCTACAAAAGATATGGTGTACTATCATGAAGCAAAGAGTTTTGGGTTATGGAATAGTAAAGTTTATTTCATGGAGGACATCATAATTCATAAAGCAAGACCTTAAGTTTACCTGGCTTCTTATTTCTTTCTATCCGAAGTTTTGTCGCTAGTTCCTGCAAAAATTGCCCCATCCCAGCAGGTCTATAAAAATGAAACATAAAATTTTCAAATTTATGAATTATCTTTGAACAGGTGTATTTTTATCACTCTACATCTTAATTGGATTAAAAAAGATCACAAGTTAGATATTCTATTTAATATTTCTTTACATCCAATTTTGACCTTTTTTAACCAAAATAAAAATACAACGGTAAAATTGGTTTAAAATAGAATGCTAAATTTAATTCATCGCCTTTAAATATAATTATAAATTTCAGATAAGAATGAGCCGAATTTCCTCACCAGAGGCTGCAGCTTCTATAAACTGGTGCTCATAACAACGAACTAATTTCTCTTTTACCAACCACTGTTCATAATCAAGCAGTACCACAGGCTAGTTGGATGGCGGGTTTAAAGCTTGAACTACCTCCTCCTTCTTTATATGCGGAGAGCAGATCCAAATCTCCATTTGCTTGAGATGTGTCTTCTTGTGAAGCTTGGCCCTCTTAGCCTCTTCCTGATCTATTGAATTCCCACGCAGCTCAACACAAAGGTTTCCACCAAGGAGGTCCAAGTTTTCTAAATCTCCAATACTGAATCGATGAGGATCATTACAATCTGCTCTCAGTTTGATATTACTTAATCTCATGAGAGAAGTTAAATTACTAATCCCTTTTGGATAGTAAGTCAGTTCATAACAACCCTTAGTACAAAGATACCTCAAGTTAATCAATTTCTCGATTCCAACTGGCAGTTTCTTGAGATCAGAGCAATATTCAATATTCAAAGATTGTAGATTAGGCAATTCACACACTGTTTCAAGCAAAGTTTCTATTCCATTGCAACCTTTCAAGCAAAGGTACCTCAAATGAATCAAATTTCCCATGTCACGAGCAATTCCTTTTGCATCTAGACAAAATGAGCATAACTCCAATAGTCTTAGATGCTGGGATCCACTAAGCAAGTTATGTGGGGCTTCAGAAGCTATTTTACCAAAAGCTGTTTTAACATGATAAACTGCTACAAGGCTTCGCAATTTTTCTGTGCCATAAATGGACATAGGAGAAGAGCTGCAATTTTCAATCACCAACCTCAAATGACGAGGATTTTTGGAAGATAAGTCCAATGTTAAATCTTCATCTATCTTCTCTGTGATGAATTCGCATTTGGTCAAAAACTGGACAAAGTCATGTACCATGTCATGCATCTTACAGCGAATTACGTCGCCATTAGTATCTTTGTCAAAATCTTGGAAAAAAGAATGAGATGCTAAGCACTTGAAGTGATGTTCACCTTCTAATTCAGCCCCCAAATTGTCAACAGAGTTCAAATATCCTTGCGCCATCCAATGCTGGACCAATTCATCTTTACCAATTACATAATCCTTGGGAAAGATTGCACAATACAAAAAACATCGTCTTATTGCTGAAGGCAAATCAAAACAACTCAACAATAAAGGTGCATAAATATATTGTTCAAAATTTGATCTCCACATCTCACTATTCAAAACATTTTGCCACTCTTCTCTTCGTAATTTACCTTGTAGGAGACCTCCTAAAGTTGTTGCAGCAAGTGGTAAACCTTTGCACTTCTTTGCAATCTCCCTTCCAATGTCCTCTAAATTGTCACAGCCAATCCGTTTCCTTCCTGTAAATGCTTTTTGATAAAGTATCAACCAACATATCTCCTCAGACAATAGATCTAAATGAAAGACATGGGAGGATTCCAAGTGGTTTAAAACTGAATCCTTACGAGTAGTTACTAAAATCCTACTTCCCAACATGAAAGATTGGAAAGTAGCTTTTAGTTGTTCCCAATCTTGTCCATGGTCTGCCCACACATCATCCAGAACAAGAAACAATTTTTTTTCTTTAATGTTTTCACTGATCTTGCTCAAAAGGGTTTGCAATGGAGTTGTATTTTGAAGTGATAAGTCAAGACCTTCAAGAATTGCTCTTGCAATTTGGCTAGGATCAAAGGGATCTGATACACACACCCAAATTTTTTTGTCAAAATGGGTCTGAATTCTGGGGTCATTATAAATCAGTTGGGCAAGAGCTGTTTTCCCTATTCCTCCCATCCCTACAATAGTGACTGTAGGAACGGAAATTGCTTCTTCTTCTTCACTAGTTCCACACAGCAACGTCCTTATTATGTCTTCTTTGACATCATCTCGACCGTATAACTTTGACGCATCCACAAAAGAAGTGCTTTCTGGCCGTTTTGGTAGCTGAATAATTTCTCTTTTTACCAATTCAAGCTTATCTTTGTCTTTAACAATCTCGTCAAGCTCTTCATTGATATCTTTTATTCTGGTAGCAATCTCATGACGGCTAACGACTTTAGAACCGAAGGAAAACCATGAAACAAAGGGACATAACTTCCGCTTCGGAACAGTAGCACTGGTTCCAACTCCATGATCTGCTTTTTGCAACTTCTGGACAGCAGTTTTCCAGTCGTCCAATACATCTTCCATGTCATAAGAAACTTGTTTGAACCTTTCTAACCAAGGTTTCAGACGTTTGTCCACATATTGTTTTTCCTCCGCATCTTCAAGCTCGTACTGGATTGCCTTGAAATTGCTCTCAAGCCTTTTGACCTCTTTCTCAACACCTCTCACCAGCCTCCACGCTTCGCTTGCTTTGTCAATGGTGATTGCAGTCAGCTGCTCCAAGATCGTGGAAACAATTGCCTCGGCCATATCTTCAAAGAGTGAGGAAACAATAATTGATTCTATAGCTAGGATCGAAGGTCGTAAGTAGAGAAACTAGAATTGAATTTAATTCACTGGGTAATTTGAACGTCGGTTTTGAGATTTGAAAAGACCAAAAGGGCCAAAAGTGAGTCCAATAGTGAGTGGAGAGAGAAGAATTTAGTAATTTTTTTTTATCCACTTGTTTGATCATGGTAATTGTTAGAGGCCTAATTATAGTGACATTTGCGCAGCCTTCTTAATTTTTTTCACTTGTTCTTTCAATTCCCTCCCTCCGCAACAGTGTGAAGGAGAATATATTAAGAAAAGTATTGTTGGAAAACCACTTCCGCTCATGGAAAGTGAAAATTCCTTTGGCTAAGCACTTCCTGGTTCTTAGACTACTTTGGTATTTTAATTGGAAAAATTGCCTCTATTTGATTCGACTTTGATTAGTGCCAGTAGATTGTTGTGGATACAACGCAACCTTTTGTCTGCTTTGCAAGATTCTCCCCGGCAGTAATGTCATTGATTGGACCACGCTGGTAAGTGGTGACTGGTGTGGGAGGTTACCGGGTGAGCGTTCACATTACTGTAGTTTTCTGTAACGTCCATTATGGTTTTTTGGCATCGTTTAGAAACCGGACTAATTTTGTTTATGTTTATTTTTAAATGGATCATTTCTTTTTGGATACGTTTTAAATTTGTTTATAATAATATATGAAATATTTTTTAATTTTAAGATATTTTAAAAAATATATTTAAAAATTATTTAATTATCTCAAACTTTTAAATTTAAGTAAAAGATCAATTTTTTTAAGTTGTTGGTATTTTTAAAAAAATGTATTTTCAAATAAACTATGGATATATTTTTTTCAATTTAAAATTTTCAAATGTGGTTGTATATTATCTTTTGAAATATGCTTCTTAATAATATAAATATATATCTTTTTAAACCTAAAAAATCTTAGTGATATTATAAAATGGATTTTTTAATAGTTTAAATATATGTTATTTTAATTTTAAAAATTTAAAATATAATTTTTATTTTTAAAAATTTCGTAATAATAATTTATTATTTGATTTTTTTTAAATTTAAAAAGATCAAATACTACATATATTAGAAAATCATAATTTATTTTTTAAAGATACTTTCAATGTTATATTTTTCTATTTTTGAACCTTTATGTTTGTAAAAAAGTAATTTTTTAACTTATGAGATGCACTAAATTTTTTCTTATACTTCTATAATTTTTTATATATGAGATGCATAATTTTTTTATTATATTTTTAATAATCTGTGCATTTTGCTTGTTAAAAAGTTAAAATTAATATTTTTTTATTTCTGAAATTTTTAAAAAAACTTTGAATATTTTATTTATTTAAGAGTATATGCTTGGATCTTATAAATTTTTTTTGATAATTCATGGATGTCAGAGTGAAGGAAAAAGATTGATTTAGTACAATACTCTTTCAAAATATTTTGACAAATGGAGGTAAAAAATATTGATTTAATTATTTAGGCATTGTTTGTTGGTTTTATTTATTTATTTAGGAAATATTGTAAAGGTTTATTTTTAATTATTGATTTCGTTATGCTTTTTTTTTTAATTATAAATAAAAGCAAATGATTAAAATACAGTACTAATTCTAACGTAAATGTTTTATATAAATTAAAATCATGTTTACTTATTTAAAATTAATTTTTTATAATTTAATTCTTTTATAATATTATTAGTTTTTTTTTCTTGAAAGCGAAATGCAAGTAGTAAAAATAAAAAACAATTTTTTTTTTTTTTTTACCTTTGAAATTGATTATAAAATGTTGTAAATGGGAATTGACACATTCTCTTAAAATCTTTTCTAAACAAAATTTTAAACTAATTGTTTAAAATTTAATTCTATTACCTAAAATTTAAAATTATTTCATTTCAATTTTAACAGTAACACAATTTTGTATCACATGTAAAGTTTAAAATAAGTATAAAAATTAATTGGAAAATAAGTATAAAAATTAATTGGACAAATCTTATAGATGTGCTAAAACTCTTAAAAAAATGTATTATGAGTAAGCTATCACATATATTATTTAAATATTTAAAATCATTTTTTTTTCAAATAAATAAAATTTAACTTAAAATTATATAAACTTAAAAGTGTGCAAATATGATTGCATTAGATGTATTTTTAGATAATCGATATCATAAAATAAGAAAAATGGAGGGATTAACATTTCTTGAAAATTAAAAAATTGTGCTTTTGAAAGAAATCAAGAAATGTTAATCCTTCCAGTTTCCTTATTTCATTTTATTGATTATCTAAAAAAATTTTTCTCTTTCTTCATCTTTATTTTCTCCCACTCGTCTCAATTCAATATAAGCTTAAATAGGAGAAAGAATTTGACTTGTTTGAACTAGGGATATCAATTTTACTAAAAGCCTAATGAAAATGAAGATGTGTATTATATTATGAGGATCGAATGGAAATGGATATATGTTTTAAATTTTTGTTTAGTATAGGAATGGGGATAGATAATATAGCACATGTCTTATACACTACATATATATTTATTTATATTTAGTGAATAGATTTTCTTATTAAATAACATAAATTATTATTTTAAATTAATTAAAATTAATATATACTTTTAAAATATATATTTTAATATATATTTATAAAAAAAATTACATAAATATACAAGGTAAAAGTAAAAAAAAAAAACTAAAAAAATAAATTTTAGTTTTTATTTTAAAAAATACTATAGATGTGGAGATTATCTATACACATTAAATACTTGTGGGAATGAGAATGAGAATAAATTTAAATTAAATACTTGTGGGAATGAGAATGAGAATAAATTTAAAATATCCATTAGGTACAAATATTAAAATGGGTATAATATAAAAATTCAGAGACAGAGATGAGTAATATTCTACCCGCTCTATAATCTAACCATTTACATCCTCAGTTTGCACTTCATAATTTAAAAAATTTTTATCATTAAATAAAAAATTATAAATATTAAAATTTCAAATTTCAAATTTAATGAAATTTTTTTTTTATCTAATATAAATTGGGGTGAATGTTATAACATGGGCAAATATATGACAATGCAAATTAATAGACAAGGTTATTGTTTATAGGTAAAATTTTCAAAGTTACAAAAATGATATGGTTTAAAATTAAAAAAATATTGTATATAAATTTGTCATAAACCAAAAAATATATTTATTATTTAACATATCACATGATATAGTAAATTTTGTATTTTAGATATATTAAGACAAAATAAATATGACATAAATATTCGAACTATCAAATTTAGGATAAACTTACTTGAATTAACTATCCTAGAATTCTTCAAAATTTGGTTCTTGTATTTTATGTTTCCACTTATAATTACACATTTATAAACCTATAAGTAATTTTGAAATGTAAGGGCATGTTGAGATGAATAGATTAAGGGCTTTATTGAAGTTGCCATCTTGTAATTATGTAAAAATTAAAGGGATAAAATAACTTTAAATAATATTCAAATCGAATATATCACATACCTAAAAAAGCAAATTATCTCTATCTTATGTAAATCTAGCAGGAATCAAAGAAATAAAGCTAACAAATAATCACCAACCACAAGCACAAGGATACAAGTAATTTATGTGAAAAACCTCCTCAAAATAAAGAATAAAAAACATGAAAAGTAGTAAATAATCTTCATTATTAAATAATGAGAATATAAAGTTCTTTCTAACTAAAATTGGAGATATACAATCACAATGTCTTAAAATTAAACAATCTTGGTAAATAAATAATCTTGCAAGAAAAAATTAAAAAAGTCTTAGCAAATTTAAAGATTAATAAATACTCACCAAATTAGTAGGTAAAAAACTCAAAATCTGATCTCCATCGTTAGACTGAAGAATAATGAATCGTGAACATATTGATAAAATTTTAGCTCAATCAGACAACGGATTGACCTCGATCAAACTACTTGATCGAAACTGTACAAAACCCTATTTTCTCATTTTTTTTCTTTATTGCCACCACACCACTTTTTTTATTTCTTTTTCAGCCGTATAAGAGTTTAAAAACCTATAACCAAGCATGAAAAGACTAAAATGTCTTTGATGAATGGGTTTTGGTTTTAGGCCACCTCCACATAGAGGAAACAAATATTCCATTTTCCAACTATGTGGAGAGAATTACCATTCGACAATCAAATGACAAACTTTAAGCTTTTCCCTTGGTAGTTTTACTAGCTAAAAAGTATTATTCTCATACAAAAACTTTATCTTATCTTGTATGGCATCAACTCAGTTTTCCTTATGTTTATCTTCTATGGCCTCTGCATAACATTTAGGTTTTTCCCTATCATTTAGTAACATAAACTCATCAATAGAATGCTGTGTGAAAATGTTGTCAATCTCTAGTAAACTTTTTGAGTGGAACTTCTGGTAAAACCTCTGATTGAACCTCTGATATAGGTGATTATTTATGAGTACCATCACCCATTTCAACCTATGTAGGATAAATATCAACATCACTTGTATTATGTTGGTTATTCTTAACATTTTTAACTTCTATAGGCATATATATTAGAGGAACTAGATCTAAGTCAATCAAACCATCACTACATCATGGAATTGAAGTATCAGTCTTCTGAATATCTTATATAGTCTAATTTTCAACAAAAACAATATCCCTACTTTTCATAAGTTTTTTCTACACTGGATCATAAAATTTATAGCCAAACTCATCCTGGCCATAACCAAAGAACATACATTCTCTAGTTTTGACATCAAGTTTGGATCTCTTATCTTTAGGAATATACACAAAAGCCTTGCATCCAAAGGTGTGCAAATGATCATAGGACACATCATTGTTTGACCAAACTTTATCTGAAACATTAAAATCTAGAAAAACACATGGTGAAAGATTCAAAACATGTACAACTATAGTTAAAGCTTTACCCCCAAAAAGATTTTAATTACTGTGCTTGTGAAAGTAAA